AGAGCTGGCCAGGAAGGAGGCAGGTCTGGAGATGGGCTGCTCCAGCATCCCTGTTGCCTTCTGGAAGTGCCTCTTCTGTGTGTATCTTCATATCTGCACACACAGGGTCCCAAGGAACTGGCCCTTGAGCATGGGATATTGTGCTAGAGCGTCCCTGGTTGGATCTCATGAATTTCCCTTCTGGCCTTGCTGCAGGGTCTACCTGCTGTACCACACCTGGAGCCAGGTACTCTATGGGGGTATTGCTGGAAGCCTCATGGCCATCGCTTGGTTCATCTTCACTCAAGAAGTTCTCACCCCACTGTTTCCCAGGATAGCAGCCTGGTAACCAATTCCCCACCCTTCTCAGTGTTGTGTCCCTGCCCCTCCTGCAGGTATGCCCATCTTTGGAGAGCTCTGGATGTCCCAGTGTCTGGGCCTTTGGTGGCACGAGGCCATGATGCCCATTTTCTTGGCAACCAACTCCCCCGGGGGCTTATGGGTCTCTCAGGCTCAGCAGCTAGAGTGCTATCCTCTGCCCTTGCTTCAGCACTTAGAGACTTAGAAGGCAGCCAGTCTCGTGGAACATTGGAGGAGGTTTTGGACTCCAGGAACTGTTGGGACATCTGGGTTGGTGGTAGGTTCATGCCCTCACCATGCCCTGGCTTTTGGGTATCTGTCTCTCCAGGCCCATCTCCGAGTTTTTCCTCATCCGGGACACGAGCCTCATTCCCAATGTGCTCTGGTTTGAGTACACTGTAACCAGGGCAGAAGCCAGGTGAGTATAGGGGACAATAGTAAACACTACCCCCACATTTGGAAGGCTCCTCAAAAGCTGGATATTTGTTTCCATTTCTGACACTGAGTTCTCTGTGCTGCTGGTCTCATCAGAGAGGAGGAAATCACTTACCCGGGCTCCGTCTGTTAGGAAGGGAGGGAGCTGGTGGTAAACTGCTGGCCTCTACAGCCCAGATACAGAGAGCCAGGCCTTGAGTCTTTCAAGGCACATGAATGTGGCTACCCTCAGAACTGTTTAGCTTTGTTATCTGGGTAAGCTGAGGCACACTGGGCCAGCTTGAGCCCAGTACAAGTTAGGGCAAAGCTGGACTTGGCATCTCCTGACTCATGTTCTTCCCCAGTCCCAGGTGGAGTTCTTCATGGGTGGGGAAAGGCCAGCCTCTCCCTAAGCTCTGAGGGGAGATGAGGCAGGTCAGGCTCCTGAGGATGCCTGAAAGATTTTCCAAGATCTGTAATAGGAGCCACTGGGCAGTGCAGAGCAGGGTGGGTGTCCAGCAGCTAGGAAATGTGTTAGGACATCAAGGTCCACATTATCTTAATGAGCTTAAGAGCAAAGCCTGGGATCCATGAGGAAAGGGGATTTGAGGGGTTAGGGCAGGGCAATCCCATTAGTGACAGAAAGGCCCCAGATGCCTCAGGCTCAGCTCTCCACCTGGCTCCCAGAGTAGCCAACACTGCCTGGCCCTGCTCAGCCAGCTGCCACCTGCTCCACGTCAGGCTGTGTGCAGGGGCTGAGCACAGTGAGACAGCTATGCTCTCGCCCTCCTGAGCCATGAGGCTGGAATGGCCAGCCCATGTGATCTCTTCTGAGAGGTAAAGCTCCGAGGGGCTTGAGGGGCTTAGCGAGTGACAGGATCCTAGAGCAGAGCAGGACAGTCCATAGGCCTCCCAGGAGGAAGCAGACCTAAGTGATGCAAATGAGCAGGCCTTTCACAGTGGGCCTGACAGAGGAATCTGGGAAGGGTAACAGCTTGCATGAAGCTCTCAAGACAGACACATTGGTGTGAAGAGCCTGAGGAGTGTGTTGGAGGACTGGGGCCACATCACACCAGGACCCTGGGGGCCATGGTTAGCTTTCTAGTTCTACAGGTACCTTACAGAAGCACTGTTATTTCTGAGCCTCAGCTAGTCCCTCTAGAGAACAATGGTAATCCTTCCTGGGCCTCTCCAAGTAGGTGCTTTGTCCCTGGCATCCCCTTCAGTGTGCCTTCCTCTGCTTGCATCTTCCCACAAGAAGAGCACACCACCTTTCTGTAGCTGCTTTGCTGGTAGCAGCAGAACTCCCCACAATTACTCAGGCCCAGACAAGTACCACTGACCTTTCTTGTCCCAACTCCATCTTGCCATCCCTGGGTCATCATGATACAGCCCAGCCTAATGCTGGCCCTCTTCAGGTTCCAGCCCACAGCAGGAGCTCTGATTGGCCTGGCTCTGGTCAGGGTGGCTGTGGTTGAGCATTTACCTGTCTTGTTGAGACTGAGCAGAGAGAGAGGACAGCTTTAATACCAGGCACCCCCCACGTCTAAATTGTCTCATTTTGCAGGAACAGACAACGCAAGCTGGGAACAAAACTGCAGTGACTGGTAGGTGTGGCTGGGTCAAGCCTCTGAATCTGGCCTGCACCATGCCTTGCAGGATGGACGGGATGATGGACGGAGGGTTGAAGCAGAGACTGCTACAGACCCAAGTCACCAAGTGGAGCCTTTTTTTTTTTTTTTTCTTATTTTAATTTTAATGGACATGGTGGACCAAAGGGCTTAGTCAGGCCCTCAGCGAGGACCCTGGGAGGGCCTGCTCTTTGTGGGTCACATGGCCAGAGACCCTGGCTCTGCTGCTGCCAGCTCCTGACTGGGTGGAAAGTGCTCTTGGCATGGGCCCTAGGGTGGGTAGAGCACAGGGGCTCAGCTCTCTGGTCATGAGACCAGGAACTCCATGTGGTGGAGTGCACACTATTTATTTTTTTGGGATTGTGGAGTTCAGGCTGAAGAGACTGCTCTGCAGTGGCTGCCCTGTATACAAAGAAGCACAGGTCAGCTCCCAGGCCCTGTGTCCTGAGCCACAGGTGGGACAGCTTGCCTTCTGTTGGTCCTGAGTGGGGTCTGGGGCCCATGAGTGAGGCATCTCCCTACCACCATTGCCATTCCAGAACCTTGTCAGTGTTTCCTTGTCTGGGGGCAGGGCCCAGAGTGAGCACCATCTGTCGGCTGCTGTCATTGTGCTCTTCCCTAAACCAACCCAACATCACAAGGGCTTTCTCTGGTCCTCTATCCCTTCCTGACAAGAGAGCCTGCACAGATGGGTGGGCACACCCAAGCGTTTACAGCTCCTTTTGTCTGGCCATGCAGTAGCAGTCTGTCTTCATCCCACTTGAACAAAACAGGAACCAGGAGCGAGGGTTCTGGCAATGTGGCAGTGCTGACACCCTTCCCCATCAGCTGCCCCGTGTGTTCTGGATTTGTTCCTGTCCTTCCTGGAGGCTGGAAACCTGTGCTGGTTGACCCTGAAGGCTGCCTGGGTGTGGGCTCTCAGATCCCCACCTGCCCAGCTGCAAGGAGTCCCTCTTTGGGCCTCTCTGAGTTGCCCTGCCACAGTTGTGGCTTCCAGAACTGAAGCCGCCCCCTTCTCTCTGTGGAGGTTCCTAACCTGCTGCTGAAGCACAAGTCCTTGGTGCTTTCCTTTGGTGTTTGTTAAAGGCCGTGTCCAAACCCAAGATGCCAGGGCCAGGGCTGGTTTCTAGGGAGGTAGGTCAGTCACATTCCCTCCCTCCCCCTAGGATTTTTATTTTTTACTTTTTGCCTGAGACAAGCCAAGTGTGAGGTGGTTTAAGAAAATAAATGAAATTGTTTACTATTGTTTTGAAATAAAATCTGAAACTCTGGAGGCTGCGTACACATTAACTGAGCTCATGAGAGGAGCTGGGACAGCTGGGGCATAGGTGGTCCTTTGGGGCAAGGATGTTAAGACCCTGAAGCCATGAGCATTTCCAGGCTATTAACCCTTCTAGCTCACAAAGTGAGGGTTTGAATGGCTGCAATATCTGCGACAGGGCTCGTCAGCCTCTGTTGCCTGTCTGTCATCCAGCATCGTCAGGTCTGTGCACCTGCCAGACGCCCTCTCTGCCTAGTGTGTCTAGCCCTGGCCAGGTTTCCTCCACAGAACAGTCTGAGGACTGGGGAGTTTCTGCCCTTCGCCCTTCATAGGGTCTGCGTGATCAAATCCACTTGTGCTGTCTGCTTCAGTGTGTACAGGTGACATGTCTGTCCACCAGAGGCCTTGCAGGACAGAGTGAGCAGGCTGGCCAGAAGCAGGCAGGCAGTTTCCTTTCCCAGCAGATTATGCCAAGGTACACAGCCACATCCCCGGGTGAGGGCGTGCAGGAGGTTACCGTGTTCCTCACATGATGGGAAGCCGGGAGACGCACTTAGATGGGGGAGGGTAGAATTTTGACAATTGTGACGTTTGACTAGTAAGAATATATCTTGGACTTCAGCTTATCCATAGTTTTTAAGTTACAGGAGTCCTGCCTGGGATCCAGCTCTTCTCTGGGGCCTAATCAGAACACAGGGCCACACCCCTGATACAGTTCCTTTCTGCATAACTACTGCCCTGGGACAGTGTGGTGTGAGGCTGGGCTGAGTTGAGCTTCAGGATCTTCTCAGACCTTTTCTGGCTTGGAGGTGACTAATGTACTCTTGGGTGCCTGCCATTTAGTAGCACAGTGTCAGTAGCTCCTCTGAGCAGGGTTCCTCAGGTGACCACACAGGTCAGTCAGGCCATGAAGCACTTCCAAGCACAGGACATGTGCCCTCTAGCAGGTGTCAGGATTGGGACAGTACATGGCTCTGATGTGGTGGTGGCCTCCCTAGCCCACTTCCAGTAAGCATTTGCTCTAATGTCGGGCCTGCTTCATTGGCCCTCCTGTTGAGCTCAGTGCAGGGTAGCTGCACCTCTTTCAGACATGCTGTACCCCCACTAGCCATGGGCTTGGGAAGTCAGGGCAGTAGGAGGGTGCTGTAGAAATAGATTCACTAGGGTCTGGCACCATCCCTGCCTCAGCACCAAGGTTGGGGCTGGCCTCAGCTCTCTGAGCCCAGCCTGAGGATTTCTCTTGGTTTCCCTGGGAGTATAATGGCTATTCAGACACCAGCTCTCAGAACGAGAGGTAGCTAGAAAGAAGGCAAGGCCAGGCATCTGTCCTCTACTTGCCCCTCAGCTGAAACGCATTGTCACCAGCACTTCTTCCTTTATTGATCACCTGGAACATTCACATTATGCAACCATGAATGTAGTTATGGAATCAAGCTGAATGGAAGCAAGAAGGCTGGGGCAGAGTCACCAGACAGAGCATGGCAGCTGGGAGATGGCACCTCAAGGTGGAGTGATGGAGGTGAGACCTCAGGGAGGCTGAGAGCCCAGCGATAGATCATCCCGATTCCTGGTCCTTGGGTGTTTACAGATGAAGATGGATTTCAGCTTGACTGTGGAGATGTAGCAACTGGCCATGCTGTGAGAAGGGATGGGCTAGACTGGCTCTCTTCCCTGGGGCTCATGTTGGTGGGTGATGTACTGGGGACCTGGGCCTTCATCTTGTTCAGCTTCTAAACTCAACCCTGGCGCTGGGACTATGGCAGGTGCCCAGGACAGGACCTGTAAGGCACTTGGCTTGGACTTTGGGGCCCTGCTAGAGACTTTGCCTGGCTCCATCAAATTGGAGGGCACAGGAGCCAAGGAACTGAGCCATGGCAGGTGTCCATACCAAAGAGGGCTTGATTGTACTGGCAGGCCTTGGCCTGGGCTCAGAGCTTGGCCTTGGGGTGATTCTGCAGTAGGGTGCGCATATCCAGCAGAGCTTTCTCCAAGTAATGAGCCATACGGGCAGCATTAGTCTCAGCGCAGCTGTTGTAGGCTGACACGGAAAAGTTGATATGGGCCTCCATGGGGTTATAGCAGATGCCATAACCATCTGGGACCACAGGTCCAAAGAACATGACGCAGTCTGTCTTAGCAGGCACCTGGGGACAGTAGATGCAAAGCTTTCATACCCAGGTCTGCGGTGGCCCTCCTGCCTCTTGGTTGTGCCAGTCTGCCTCTCTATGGGTGAACCTTCCTTCATATTTATCTCTCTCTGTACTCCTCTAGCCACTAACAGTGCCCTGGGCCATCACTGCCCCCTAACCATGCTCCACTGATACTGGGAGCTTCATGGGACTACGGCTTGTTCCCCAGCTGTGGCAGCACCCGGCACATGTTTCACTTACAAATGGCCAATGAAAGAATGGAACAGATTCTCCTAAGAGGCCTAAGCCTTCCCACCCTTGTCACAGCAATATCCCTTACCCTGAGCTCCTGCTTGGGAACTCAGTTGCTTTGGCAATGTGGCCGTAGTTACCTGTGTGGGCCACACTACCCCTAGGATCCATCTGCCCATGGGTTCTAAAGATTATTCATATTTTATGTGTCTGCCTGAATATAGACATGTGTGCCACATGTATGTGTGTGTGCCCACAGAGGACAGAAGAAGGGTGATGGGGACTGAATCTGGGTCATTTGGAAGAATAGCCATCTCTCCAGGCCCTGCCAGTGGGTTCTATTCACCCCTACCCTGGGGTACCTGAGGCAGTAGCCTACCTGGCTGGTAGAAAGGTTGAAGTGCATAGCGATGGCATAGGAGGTGTCCATGAAGATGTCGGGCATGCTCACCAGGTCCTCAATGGCTTGCAGCTTCAGACCCAGCAGGTGCCGGTCAAAGGCCTCCCCTCGGATGGCCTGTGGGTGGGAGAACTGTGAGTTCTGCAGGTGCTGCAGCCACTGGTCTCTCAGACCATAAGGCCAAGGTCTCCAGGCAGAGGAGTCCTCACCTCCCAGATGGAGAGACCAGGGCCATAGAGGAACAGACAGCTATCCAGGGAGGTACAACAGTGCAGAACTTAAAACATAAGCTTTTGGGGCTGGAGAGATGGCTCAGTGGTTAAGAGCACTGGCTGCTCTTCCAGAGGACCTGGGTTCAATTCCCATCACCCATGTGGCAACTCATAACTATCTGCTACTCCAGTTGCAGGGGATCCGACACCTTCACACAGATATACATGCAAACAAAACAATTCACATAAAATAAATAAATCTTAAAAAAAACAAAACAAAACATAAGCTTTCACCAAATGGTGGTGGCACATGCCTTTAGTTGGAAGACAAAGGCAAGCAATGATCTCTGTGAGTTCAAGGCCAGTCTGGTCTACAGAGCAAGTTCTAGCACAGCCAGGGCTATAACAGAGAAACCCTGTCTCAAAAACCAAACAACAAATCAAACCAAACCAACCAACCAAACAACAATAACAAAACATGAGCTCTGGTTCAGTGAGACCTAGACAATGTCTGCATGTAAGATAATCAGTGTCTGTGTATGCCAAGTAACAAGGCCAGGGCCTATACAGGCTGTGTAAAGGGTGGTGTCTGTACAGGGCAGTGTTTGCATGTTGGGTAACATGGGTAGTGTGCCTTCCATACGACAGGCAGTGTCTGTCATGCTTTGTAGCATGGGCACACCGTACCTACTGATGCCCAAACCGCCACCTCCCAGGCTGCAGCCTCAGTTGCAGGACAACAGGAGAGATGCCATCTGTTGGGCCATCAGGGACAGTACACAACACAGGGTCTGAGGGCATGGACTCAATTTGATTATGGAACTGGGACCAGGGCAGTGGCTAGGTTTACCCTGGTTTCACCAACTTTCAAACTGTAGGATTAATTAACTAATTTTACAATTTATTTTTACTTTGTGTGCATTGACATTTTATCTGCATGTATGCCTGTGTGAGGGTGTTGTAAGCTGACATGGGTGCTGGGAATTGAACCCTGGTCCCCTGGAAGAGCAGTTAGTGCTCTCAATCGTTGTGTCACCTCTGGCAATATTCATTTAAAATGGAGATTCCCTGGGGCTCCAGAGCTCTGGGAAGAGGCAGTTCTCATCAGGAATGGACAAGAAGGTGGACAGACAGGTGGGGTGGTAATGAACAATAAGGAAGGAAAGCAGGGCTCACTCACTCGGTCAGTGTAGGCTCGGTGGGCCTGCACAGCCTTCCGAAGCAGCTCCACCTTCTGGTGCTCCTGGGGGAGGGTGGGAACAGAACAGGCTGAAGTGCTGTCCCTCCTCTCCCACGTTAGCAGCTTGCTCTGCACCCAGCACCACAGCAAGGACTGCACCGCCGCCATTTCCTCATTCTATACAGCAGAGCCCAGCATTCGCTGCTGATGTGCATGGACAGATGGCTGACTGGCTTCTCTTATGAATGGATGGATACATGGTTTTGCCTTGGCTGCCAGAAAGCTCAGAGCTCTATTCATGGCTCCATCTTCTGTTAAGTTCCATTTGACCACTACAGGGCTGAAATACCATAGAGGTACAACCCATTTGCACAGACAGAGTGAACAGGAAAGGAAAGAGATGACCCAGCACAGCCTACCCACCCTTGTCCCAGACTTCTCACCGGCACAGTGGAATCATCCATGCCTTTGACAAAGGCTAGTGAGTCTGTGGAGGCTGAGCGGATAGTGTCAGTGCGGCCCAGGTGAAACATACGCAGAGAGGCGCTTTCATACGTGGCACATGCCTGTCCATAGATCCTGGAATGGAGTGGATATCAGTATGTCCCTTCTCCACAACAGGCTGCCTGTGCCTCCCCTCCCTTACTCCTCTGTGGGGTAGGTGGTCAGGCAGGGCACACCTGTAGTATGCCAGTTGCAGGGCTATCTGGATGAAGGCATCAGGGCTTAGCTTCTCTGACTTGGGGAAGTCCTTTCCAAAGTGATGGAATACCAGCATCATGATGTCCAGGTCCTGGATCATGCTGGGGGGAAGGTACAGGAGGCATGAGTGACAAACAGGTACCTGGCAGCCTTGTGGCTGGCCCTCCCTAACAGGGCCCAGCCATGCACTCACATGCTGATATTCTGTTTGGCTTTCTCAATGTCATTCTTCATCTCAGGTGTTATGTTGAACCGCAGCTTCTTGGGCATGGGCAGGGGTACCATAGGAGACCTCACGAGCTCAGGTTTTTTTCTGCATGGGACAGACAGGTGGGCTTTAGGCTCATGTTGCTGTCACTGAAACCCGGGTGTCCCTGGGACTGAGGTGAGGAAGAAAAGTTCCTGAAGCTAGTGGTAGGCGGTTCAGAAACCAGGGGTTAGCTCTTGTGAAAACTAATTACACCAAGCTTTTTAGATGCCAGATGGAAGCCAGGTGTGGTGGCATATCTAGTGTCCTAGTACTTAGGAGGCAGAAGTGGGTGGATCTCTGTGAGTTTGACGCCAGCCTGGGTCACTTAGTGAATTCCAAGACAGCCAGCTATAGTGGGACCCTCTTTCTTTCTTCCTTCCTTCCTTCCTTCCTTCCTTCCTTCCTTCTTCTTTTGAGACAAGGTGTCTCTGTGTAGTCTTGACTGTCTTGGAACTCACTCTGTAGACCAGGCTGCCCTTGAACTCAGAGGTCCACCTGCTCCTGCATCCCAGGTGCTGGGATTAAAGGTGTGCACCATTATCTTGTGGCATGCTCTGCTCTTCTACAGGCCTGAATTCAATTCCCAGCAATCACCTGGTGTCTCACAGCCATCTATGATGGGATCCAATGCCCTTTTCTGGTGTGCAGGTATACATGTAAAACACCCATATACATAAAATACATAAACAAACCATTAAAAAATCTAAACTGGGTGGTGGTGACAAACACCTTTAATCCCAGAACTCAGGAGGCAGTGATAGGCAGATAGTCTGAATCTGAGACCAGCCTGGTCTACAGAGCAAGTTCAAGGGCAGCCAGAGCTACACCAAGAAACCCTGTCTTAAAAAACACAACAAAATCTTCTAAAAGACAGAGACAGATGGACTGACTGACTCTTTGGTGCAAATGAGTGATCTATTTCTACAGGCTAGGTCTGTCACCTGCATACCATCTGCCACCAGGAACTGAGGAATGAAGCTGTAACCATACTCACGTATACTCAATGACATGGTCCACAAGAGCCACAATGGGGGGCCCTTCTGCAGCTGCATGCTCATAAACCAGCCCACAGGACCCATCTTCTGCCACAATGAACTGTGGATGAGAAAGGACCCATCCTATTAGCCCTAGATCCCTGGAGGAACCCAGTTGCTCTCTAGGTAGGTCTCACAGGAAGGGTCCCCAGAGCCATCTCCAGGCCCTATGCTGACATGCTTGACATAATTGAAAGCACTGCACCTGTGGTATGAGCGCAGAGGAAGTCAGACCCAGACTGCACCACTCTGACTACCCCAGACATGCTGAAGGGTTATGCTGAGGGTGTCAGTGGCATGCAGGCCTGGTAATGACAGGTTGGTTGCTTGGTAATTACAGCAGCGTCCCCAGCCTCCTTTACAAGCAGGAGGCTGGGGACGCTGGGCATAAGGAGGGGACAGAAAGTCTAGAGCTTTATTGAACCAAGTTTTGGGGCTGTGGCCCTGCCAGGTCCTCACTTACCTGCAGTGTCTTGTCAAACCAGCGGTTACCACTGTTGAGCTTGCTGCCACCACCATGCAGCATCTGTCCTGCTACATGGTTGCGGTAGACGTCATCAGAGACTCTGGGCACTGGCTTGTCCAGGCACACAGTGAAGATGCTCTTCTGAATGGAGTTCACCGACTCCCGATTTACTTTGTCTGTAGGAGTTGGGGTAGACGTAGGGGGCCTCAGAGCCTGTGGTCTCCTGATCTGGGCTCTTGCTTCATACCCCACTGGGGATGGGGCCACTAGGGCATGCTTGAAGTTCAGAATGTATGCTCAGAGCTTTGCCCTCAACAAAGTCCTGCAGGTAACCCCCCCCCCATACCTCAAAGGGTAGGGCCCAACACCTGGCACATCACAGACACAGAAAAGCAGAAGCCCAGGGTCACATGGGCTGGTGTGGCAGTCAGGGATCTAATGCCAGCAATCTACAACAGTATCCATGGACAGCATGGGATTTGATGGGGGTGATCCAGGGAACAGAGACAGTCTGGAGAAGGGCACCTCAGCCAGACACTGCCTAAATCCAACTTGCTACTTCACAGGAAGAAACTGGCCTTACCAAGCTGAGCCTTAGTTTTCTCATTTATAAAATGGGTCAGTAACACCTGCTTCAAACTGAGAGGGTCAATGAAACAGTGGCTGCCCCAGCCTCATGTCGGATTTATTTGGCATGTAAGGAAGCCCTTGCCCTGGAGGCACCTTTGATGAGGTTGTTGTAGGCCTTGGCCCAGGTGTTGCGGTGGTTGGAGGTAAGAATGCCAACCGGTTCTTTGTTGGTTTGCAGTGATGAGTTCCAAATTTTCTCCAGCTGTACAAAGATCTGATCAGAGGTGAGGGGTGTCCCATCACTGTGGTACACATCCAGCTCGAAGAACTGTGAGGCACAGACATGGAAGAGAAGGGGGCCTGGGTGATCTCAGACAGCGAATGCCTCTTCTGGTCTTGGCTATGGAGGTCACAATCAGCATAGCTTAGGACCAGCGCAGGAGCTGGAGTTAGGCTGGGAGGGGCTGGGGCCCCTCTGAGGGGGTAGTGGTGCCCACCTGGTAGTTGTGCACCACTGTTATGTGCATGGGTGGCTTCTTTGTCTTTAAGAAATTCACCACAGAGTCCTGCTTGGGGCCCGGCACACGGCAAGAGGACAGGATCTGATAGTACTGGTTCATGCACAGTGGCTTTCCCCCCAGGAACTCGACAGGCAGGCTCTCGCTGTGGGAGGACACAGGGAGGGGCCACTGGGCACGTGAATGGGGAAGAGGCCAGGGTAGACAGACACCTGCTAGTTCTATTTGGAACTGGGTGAGGGCCCTTGTCTTTAGCATGAGCAGGAGCCAGTGGGGTATAATGGGGTTTTGAAGCCTCTATTTTCTAAGGATTGGGGCTGTTTATGAGTCACCCACAAACTCCCTCCCTCTCCCTTTCTGAACTTCACTTTGCCACAGGCAACTGTGATCCATTTTGGCTGGGATGACAAGGTCACCAGGAGAAGTCCTAAGAGCTGTAGTGGCAGACTTAAGTGTCCCCCATCTCACTGATCACTGTCCTCAACCTTTTCCAAGGCTGGGCCAATAGGAAATGAAAATGACATGGGCCTGCTCAGTGCCTAGGCTGACACACTGAAGTCCAGGGCTAGAGCCAGGGGCAGCTATGATATTAGGCAGGTATGGGCAAGGGTAGGAATGGGGCTACTCACTTGTCAATCATGGACTTGAAATCCAACACACCCTCGATGAGTTTGGCAGCAAACCTACAGGATGAAGTAAAGATGTAAAACAGTGTGGCCATCCAATAGAGGACCCTGGGACAGGGATGAGTGCTGAGTAGGGGGAGGATCAGTCAAGGATAGGACCTATGGAATCGGTACCCACCCTCAGTACTGAGGGTTGTGGACTTCAAGGTGGACCCATAGTAGTGGGAGACCCTTCTGAGCTTCTTTTTATCATCTCCAGTGGGAGGGCTGCATCTGCCTCAGAAATGCTGGTGGGAGATCACCTGGAAGGACCAGGATGCTGCTCAATAATGGTACACTACTGCTAGATAAGAGGCCAGTGGTGACTGGCCACTGAAGGGCCACCACCACCACCAAGGGCCTGAACCACAGTCTGAAGTACTCATTATATGGAGATTTGTTACCCTAGTAAGATAGATAAGGGTCCCCTCCAGGATCCAGATATCCCTCTTTCTGAGTCTATATTCCCAGGACACTACTTTTAACCTGTTCTTTCTCCTTGGATTATCTGGGTGTAGGAAGAGGGGTTTTCTGGTTCATACCAACTATCTCCCAATGCCTGAGGCCATCTCTGGTCCCAGTACAGGCTGGCTAGAGTTCCCAGGCTGAGTCCCATCCATAATCAGGAGGCACTGATTCCTTTATCATTTGTGTGTGTGTATTACTAAAGATGGAATCTAGGATCTGATGTATGTTACGCAATCACCCAACTACTGAGCCACACTTCTTTCTTCCTCTCCTTCCTGGCTTCTCTGTATTCTTGCCCTGGTCTCTTTAAGAGAAGCTGGTGGCAGTAATGAGTGAGTGGCAGGCTCCTGGAGATCCCTGCTGCTAGTATTTTTATCTCTGGTAGGACTGGAACAGGGGCCAGGGCAGGTGACATGGCTGAATGTGGAAAAGGGGACTGTGTATAAAGGTCACGGTGTGGCCAGCTGAGGAGAGTGGGAGGGACTCAGGGCAAGGTTGGCGGGTGAATGGTTCCAAAGCCTTGGCACTAGAAGCCCAGCCTCTTAACTGGAGTTGTGACCATGGGAGAAGGTTCCCTCATTGTTCTGAGCTTCAGTTTCCTCATCTGTGGGTGGGGTAAAAGCACAGCGTCAAGGCTTTCCAGTTTCCTAGGGAGTAGCCTTGAGGGTTCTGGAAATGCACAGGGCCCTGTTCACTGGCACTGCCAGCCTTGTACCAGTCTCTGACACTCACCGGAGCTGCCCCTGTTGGTCCACGAAGTCCTGCTTGGGCAGCATCACTCCTGGGCTAGAGTAGATGACCACCGGCTGGCGGTACTGGAGATAGGCTGTCTTGAGCCACCAGTCGGACAGCTGGATGAGGACCAGATCAGAAGTAGAATATTGGTACCTGATGCCCCTTCCTCCCCACAACTAGGGACCTAGCTAGCCCTGGTGTCCTTTGGCCTCTCTGCAGGACAGTCTTCCAGTAAATGTTTAGGTCTACAGTACCCTTCCCTACCTCCTCCTACCCATCATCTTCTCCCGAGCCTGAGCAAACAGCACTGCCTAACAAAATGACCTGGGAGAAAAGATTGGAAACAAACCTGGCAAGGGAATAAACAAGTGAGCAGCTTTTCTCTTTCGGTGTGCATGCATGCTGGTGAGGCTTGAACCCAGAACCTCACATACATGCTAATAAGCATGTTTGGTCACTGAACTATACCCTTTCTTTATCTTACAAATTTCTTAGCAATGATTATAATATACTACTAAATAAAAATGCATCCCTAGATATGTAGAATAAAGTAGAAGGAATGAAATAATAATAATAATAATAATAGTAATGATAAAATAAAGCTCAGCAAGTGTGTTTTCAATCATCTCTAGTTGGCAAATATCTGAGGAGCCAGAAACCTGTGTCAGGGCCACCCACAGGAACTGGTCCTTTTCAGTGGCCCTAGACTAAGAGGTGGATACTGGCAATTGTCAGGGCAATTCTAAGTGGGGAACTCACTGTGAGGGTGAGTTATTGTAGGTTTTTTTTTTTTTTTTTTTTTTTTTTTTTTTTGAGACAGGGGTTCACCATTTACCCCTGGCTGGCCTAGAGCGATGCAGATTAGGCTGGCCTTGAACAGGGATTTGCACCTCTGTCTCCCATGTGCTAGGCATGTGCCACCATTCCACACCTATCTCTTTTAGGCTCCTACACTTCTTTGAGACCTAGGCCTTTCAGTGCACTCCATGCCCATCCCAGACAGCAGCAGGGTATGTCTGCACAGCACTCAGACTATCTTTGTGCAGTGGCTAGTCTGTGGCATCAGGCCACTCGTCCTGGCTCTTGGCAAGAGGGAAGGGAAAGTGACTTGCCACAGGCTGGGTAACATGTGACTGCCATCTGCTGACTTGTAGCCAAGGACTGGTCCCCCTGAGGCATCCAGGCATCCTGTACATCTCAGGGTCTTTCTTTTCTGAGAGCTACTATGAGGATCTGAACTCTAGTCTACCTCTCTAGGTCACAGTTTCCCCATTTGTAGGGAGGAGACAGACTAAGGATCCCTCTCAGCCAGGGGCCCAACACCACAGGGCTTTCAGGAATCCCTGGTTAAGGTTTAGAAGATGAGGGGAGAAGGTGCGCTTGGTAGTAGCAGCAATGCTTCCAGGGCCCTGTGAATGGAGAGTGAGTAGCCTAATTCTAGTCAGGGTCTTTGACTCAACAAAGTCAGAAAACCATTAGACCCGACCCCAGAATCTCTATGGTCCTTTCAGGGCCAGCATCCTGACTTGAAGAGTCCAAGGCCCTGGCTTGCTAAGGCTCGGCAGGTGCTTATCCCTAACAACTTCCACCTACTCCCAAATTCCTGCACGGGTTTCCAGACTCCACTGAGGCCCACCTATCCAAAGTCCTTCCCATCTCTTACTCCAGTTAGCTCAGATCTGTGCTTCTACCCCCAGATTCTTTATCTACAGATTCCACCAGCTCAGGTGGAGAATTTGAAAAGCAAAAAACTGCACCCATACTGATCACATAGGCCTTTTACTATACATCATACTTATTTACCCAGTATTTATGCTGTGTTAGATATAATACCATCTAGAGATGACTTAGGGTCTATGAGAACAGGTATTTAGTGAGACAAAAATACTGAAATACTTAAGGGACTTGAACATTTGTGGGGTCATGGAACCAATGCCCCATGAATACTGAGGTGACTCTTACCCAGCTCAGGCTGTCCCCCATAGCCAGCTTCTTCCTTGGCTTCATATTGTAACCTTCTCCCCAGTTGCTCGCTCTATCTATCTATCTATCTATCTATCTATCTATCTATCTATCTATCTATCTGAGACAGGGTTTTCTCTGTGGCTTTGGAGCCTGTCCTGGAACTAGTTGCTTTAAAAGGGAATGTTCTACCCTTTGGCCCCACTGCATTAGCAAATGCTATTCAGTCTTGCACCTCACGACTCCTCATCTCCTTGAGCCAGGCCCAGGCCATGAACATCCCCCTCTAGGTAAAAGCATTGAAGCATTCACCTCTTCATTACCTCTGGCTCCTAGGGCTATTTTTTTTTTTAATCTTTATAACGTGAATACAGAAATATGTACCAAGTACCAGTCTAGCTGTGTTTTGCAAATTGAACTACTCTATCTGATTAGACACAGAACTAGGAGCATATACAGCAACCTCAGGCTGACACAAATTCCCTGTCTCAAGCTATCCCACCAAGCTCAAGTCTATATTCCTTCCCTTGACTGCCTATCCTGCTCTGAACAATCTGGTCCAGGTTCTGTCCCAAAGTAGGTCATACTATTGCTAACTTTGTCCTCAAATCCAACACCTTCTCCTCCTACCCTCTATCTGATAGACACTGCCATCCATCTCTCTACCTCTTTTCCCCTCAGCCCTTCAAGTGGAACCCAGGGTCTCACACAAGTAAGTGTTCTACCACAGAGCCACAATCCAACCAGAATGACCTTTAAAAAACCACATGTAATTTCTTTTTAACATGACTTCACCTACTGATTTACAATCCTGTTTTCCACCCTTCTTTCTCCACCCCCAAGACCCCTACAACCAGTCCTCTTGCCAATACCCTGCATTTGCCAAGAGTAACCCTGTCAAGCACACAAATGAAAATGCCACAACAACAGGTATGGGGAGACCGTGGGCATGCAGCTAGCAACAAGCAGCCGGAGGGATGCTCTGGAGGACCCAGGGGTCTGGAGGAGCATCGAGATGCTCCATCTCACTTACCCAGTTCTCCATTTTCTTGGCCCTGCGCTCCAGTCCCTTCTGCAGGCGTTCCCCTACACCCCCTGAGGTCTGAAATTCGTCCACCAGTTGCTTGGTGTGGGCCCACTCTTCCTCACTCACGATGGGCTGCAGTGCCTTGAGGTAATGGTCCAGGGATTGCTGGAGTGGGGGCACGGGCAGCCTCGGAAGTGCATCCTGGTGGGCCTTGAAGCGACCAGAAACCCTCATCAGGGAGGAGGGCTTGAGAAGGCCCAGGGGCTTTACCTGAGGGAAGCAGAAGAGCTTATTCATTCTCTCAGTTTGAAGTACAGCTCTCCCTAAACTGCAGTCCTAGGTGTTTATATGCCATCCCTGGGGGCAAAGTCAGCTTTAATGGGTGGTGCCTGTCCTGGATGCCCAGCCCTTGAGGGACAGGAGTCCCACCTCTCAGGAGTCAAGAGGTGCAGGGAGGCTGGGAAAGGGTGGGAGCAGGGATGAATGACACTGTTGGGGAGGCAGAGGTAAGGAGGCCTAGCACCCATCATCTTTCTTGTCCTGGCAGGTAAGTCAGCTAGCAGAGAGGTGGCAGTTGGCTCTCTAAGCTGAGGTTCCCAACTTCTTTCTTCCCCGACCCTTTCCAGTTTGAGAAATAGGAGGGGATTGGAAACGCCAGAACCAGACAGTGACAGGACCTCTAGGTGAAGCTTCAGCCTCTGGGCTTTCTCTTCACCATGCGGCGATGGTAAGGGGTGCTGGGCAGTGCTGCAGCGAGAGAGCTGAGTAGCCTGGCCTGGAGGGTGAGAGGTAGCAGAGAGAGAGGTGGGGAGTCCAGGAGACTCAGGAAGTGGCAGAAAGCAAGGCAGGAAGGTCCCAGGCTGCTGGCACAGTGGCAGACAAGCGGCAGAAGTTCCATTCCATACCTTCTCTCTCTGCTGCTCGTCCTCCATGGCAGGACTGAGGATGTGAGCCCTGTCTGTCTGCCTTTGCTGGATCGCTAAGCCTAACTGTGCTACCAACTGGACGAGTAGAAGCTAGCAAGAGGCAGCCACCTGCCTGGGCTGGAAAGAAAAGACAAGATCCGATATTCAGGGCTGAGGGAGCAGTGAAGCAGTAGCCACTGATGTGGCATTTAAGGTTATAGCCCTGGTGGCTACAGGATTGCAGCAGCTACTCCACCCCTTCCTAGCTTCCAGAAGATGAGGAACGGGGCAGGGGAGTGAGTGGGCTGGAAGTGTGCATTAGGAGGAGGAAACCTGGCACTTTCTCCCTTCTTCTTTGGATGGGCCCAGTGCCAGGGAGGCAAGCCAAGAGGTATTAAAAAATCCACCTGTCAAAATCTTCGTAGATCTTTTTGATGTGGGAAAACTTGGCTGGAGGGTGGAAACAGTCTGGCTGCTAACCCATGGCCCTGAAATCGCTCCTGTGTGGGACTATACAAGGCAGGAGATGGCAGGAAGGAGCCACTAGGGGTCCATGCGAAATTTCTACAAACCTTGCCCATTTGTTTCACTTTTAGAGCCAGGGGTAGAGGGTCACCCCTCTACCAAAATCTGGGTTTCATTTTTCTGAGCTTTGGATCATTCAGGTTAGGATAAAGAGTGTGTGGCTGGGTGTGTGTGGGGGGGGCAGAAGTACTTTTGGTATGAATAATAAACTAAAGGTCCCTAGTTCGAGGGTTGGGTTAAATTGATTAGCAGAGCCATGGATTTGATTGTCTCCTCGCTTTAGTTTCCTTAGGATCCAGTGACTGTGTCAATATGGTGACCCCACATGATGACATAGAAATGTAGAAACAGTCTGTTGGATGGATGGCGGATGGCTTTTGCAAAGGGCAAGGCAGGTCCCAGGTGCTGCTGGAACTACTCCAAGAGTCTCCCTCTGACCTGAGATGGGTACTCTTAAGTGCCAGCCTACTGTCTGAGATGGAGATACAACTCACTGCTGTACATATGGCATCAGAGAGGAACGGGGCTCACATCCGTATAGCAGCACTGGGTAAGGATGGCAAGGGACCACCTGCGACCTCCTGCCTTCCTGGGGACTCTCAGTATTAGTCTCCACCCGAGGTTCTCTTAAAGAGGGTGAGCACCTGATGAACTCAAGAATGGCCAACTGGGTAGGCTTGGAGAAGTGGCTCTTGTGGGGCAAAGGCAACCGGGCCTGAGGCTGAGCCCATGCCAGGAGCTCCCAACTGGTGTCTTGAGTCAGAATAGCTGAGCATGAAGGAGAAGCCGGGTGTAAAGGTGCAAAAGGCTTGAACCTAGATTTCCCAGTCTTTTCCTGGGTAGTTGATATTAAGCGCCACAGGTCTCCGGTTCGATCCTGCCCCTCACCTGGTCGGTCTCTCTACCCACTTTGCAGATTGTACCCTATCAGCCGATGTGGGAGTTCTAGACCTGCAGCCCGCGGCCCGCCCGCCTTACCCGGTCTAGAACCCTCCCGTGCGTACTCACCACGGTCCTGGCAGCAAAGGCTAACATCGTCCCAGTCTGTCTGCGGACACTCGGTCCGCTCCGCCTCTTGTGCTGGGCAAAGTCTGCGCTGCTGTGGGGTCAGTGGGTTCCCCTCTCGGGCTCTAGGTTCAAGGTCACCGAGTCACTGCTGCCAGCCAGTAGAGGCGGCCCCGCGCCCACCGGGCCCGGCGGGCGGGCGGCCGGTGGAGCAGGACTCACGGGGCGGAGCCTCGGTGGAGCTCAGTCCCCGGCCGCTAGCCGCGAGCTGGGGGCGGGCCCAAGCCTGGACGTGGTCACAAGGGGAGGGGCCTGTGGCGATCGGGCTCCTGTTCATCCGTTAGAAGCCAGGCCCTGGGCTTCCGTCACGGGTCACAACGGTGGCCACTGTCCAGCACGCGCTTTCCTCCTCCAGACGCCACCTGAGCTGTCGAGGCGGTTGGGTGCATCCATCAAGTCCGACTGGTGTCCTTGAACGTTGCAGGAAAACATAACTATGTTGACAGGGGGCTGTCTCAGATTCTTTGGGCTAGGCTCTGTGCCATTCACAAAGATGACAGGTGGCCTTGCCCCGCAAAAATATGGCTGCCACCCCACCCCCGAAACCGGAAGCCCCGCACAAACATGGCTGCCACATCTGCTGTTGGCCTGCGGGCAGCGGCCGTTAGTGCGCATGCTCTCAGCGCCCCGCACCAAGATGGCCGCTGCGTCAGTCCGCACGGCGGCCGCGAGACGGCAGTTGGTGGGCATGCTCTCTGAGTGCCCCGCACTGGTATGGCTGCCGCCCTCACAAGAGTGACTCTAGTTCTCGGCTTCCGGTCGTAGCCGGCCGGCGCTCATTTCTCTTCTGGAAGCTTAGTGGAGCCGGGGAAAGGTGCGGGGTAAACAGTGAGAGGGAACTGCAAGCATCCGCGCCGGCTCCTAACGGAGAAGATGGCTGAGGGCGAGCGGCAGCCGCCGCCAGGTAGGGCGTGTGGAGGGCCCCGGCGAGTGGGTAGGAAAGGGGTGTGGCTCGGGGGTCTCTGGAGTGTGGAGAGCTGGAGAGGCGTTGGAGGCGAAGCTGTCGGCCTCGGAGGAGCTAAAGGGCCAGAACCCGGGACTGCAGGCGGGTGGCGGAGAGGGCGACCAGACTCGGGGAGCCCGGGGCTGACGAGGGCCGGGCGGGCAGAGCTCTGGGGAAAGGTAAAAGCTCTTGACCTGATGCCAGAGTTGCCTGGGACCGGGGGCGAGACGGATCTAGGAGGCTGCCTTTTTTAAGAGACTTTGCTCGAGTGGGCCTGCGCCTCGCTCGCTCCCAGGCCAGCTTCTTCCATGCCCTGCCCACCCTGCATCAGCTCCCTCCCTCCCTCCTTCTTCCCCTCCCTCCGTTTCAGTATCAGCAGAGTTGAAACTACCCGCGGTGTCTAAACTACTAATTTTAAAAAAAGGCTGTTTGCAAGATGAGAAGGTTGATGGCATCATCGTCTGTTAACTTTTATTTACACTGTGGCCTCATTGTATTCATCTCAGTTAACTAGGGCAGAGGTACAGGCCCCCTTTCCTGGAGAAGAAAGCAGTTTGTTGACTCCATAAGTTAAGAAGGTCCGGAAATTTCTTACAGATAGTTTGGCTTAACACAGCATTTGATACTACTTCTGTCTCGCTTCATAGTTTGTGGTCCCAAACAAGGTCTCAATAGGGAGACATTTTGAAAATCAAAAGAGGCGTCATTTCTGTGTCTCCCTAAAATAGATGAGCACACTGGAATTGGAAACCAAACATTTACATTATTCCCAAACTTCAAACCTCTATGAATGTATCCTAATCAGTTCTGGTGATGACATCAAGAACTATAAGTGTCCCTGAAGATGACTAGGGGAGAGACATGAGGACCAGAACCTGTGCACTGGAACAGACAAAACAAAACAAAAAAAAACCTCAGGGAGGTCATCTGGAGAGACTCTGGTTCCTGGAAGGAGTATTTATGTATTTGAAGGCAGGGTCTCACTATATGTATAACCTTGGCAACACTGGGACTCACTAGGTAGACCAGGCTGGCCTTGAATTTACAGAGATCTGCCTGCTTCTGCCTGAGCGATGGGATTAAAGGTGTGTGCCACCATAACTCCCAGAAGAGTTATTTATTTTTTAAAATTAATTTGGCCAGTTTTAACTTAGTTTTAGGAATAAAATAGATTTGAGTACCCATGAAGGGCAGCAGTATGGGGAGGGATGAGAGTAGCGCCTGTGGCCCAAATGGAGTTTTTAGATTAACTCTTAAGACTCTGTAAAGTTAGGGGACGTTTTCAATCACACAGACTAACATAGCAAGTCATAACCTTCGTGTCCTTCAGTAGACTGAAAAACAGGGATACTCTGGCTTGGCAAGTAAAGTGTTTGCCGCCTAAGTTCCATCACTGGAACCCACAAGGTGGGAGGGTAGAACTGGCTCTTGCTTGGTTGTCCTCTGACATCCACATGCACTTTGTGGCTTTATACACACATGTGCATGTACACACACACACATTCTCTGTCTTTCTCTTTAGAAATACAATTTTAAAATGAGGTTATCCAACTTTCCTCTTGGAGTTTGTGGTATGTGGGCAGTCAGAAGTGAGCACAGTGTAGGGTGTGGCAGGTATGTGGTGGTTACAAATATGTCACATCCAAATGGGAGGTGATAACCCAGCACACTCTTGGTGGGGGAGGTTGTGGATATTTTTTGTTTTTGTTTTTTTTTTTTTTTTTTTTTTTTTTTTTTTTTTTTTTGAGACAGGGTGTCTAAATCCCTGACACTTTTCATTTCCCCATGACTTCTCCAGGTAGATTCTGTTCCTCTGCCCATGCCACATACACAGAACTTTGCTAGGATTAGGACTCACTGTAGACCAGACTGGAACTGAGCTCTTGAGTGCTGGTCTTAAAGGTCTTCACTGCTATATCTAGCATGTACTTTTGGTACACGGTCACTGGCCCTGGCTGCCCTGGAAACATCTTCTAGCCCTCTCAAGAGCTGGGGTTACAGGTGTTCTGCTGTTTTTGAGGCAGGGTTTAACTATGTGGCCGAGGCTGACTAGAATTGGGGTTCTCCTTCCTCCATCCACTGAATGTTGGGATTTTAGTGATGAGCTACTGCACCTGGGCTACTTTTGGGTGTTTTTAAGGAACATCTATAAACCCTCATTTTTTGATCTTAACTGTCAGTGCAGGGGATCCAGTATCTGTTGTCAGAGGCAGCCTGTGACTGGAGAAGCTGTGTGTGCTCTCTCTTATAGTCTTGTCTCTGAATGAAGTCTTATAGCTTTGGTTTGCTTGTTTGGCTTTGATTTGGGATTGTGTATTCTGTTGACTCTGTTTTTTTAGGGATGTACTGTTTTGCTTTTTGGCTTTGATTTGGGATTGTGTATTCTGTTGACTCTGTTTCTTCAGGGATGTACTGTTTTGCTTCATATAAGGTGGCCTCTGCTCTTGGCTTTTGTCTCTGTGAAATAATGTCTGGAGGGCAGCTTGTTGCAAGGAACAGGTCTCTTACAAGAGAGTTAGATACCAAAGATCATTGGCAGGTTGAATATTTGTCATGGGGAAGACATTTCCCATAAATGTGTCTCTATAAACAGTGGTTGGCTCACCAGACTAGCTTCAAAACTTTTATTTCTCATCTTACTTCGATTAGCCATTTACTATTAGGAAGGGTCTGGGGTGGGGCTCTGGAAACAGTGTTTGTGTGAGGTGGGAGGAGTGGGGGGGAAGTTTGCGACTCTCCGCATGACCTTTTAGCTTCCCTTACCCTCTGCTTTACTTTTGGGTTCTGCTAAGTCTGGGAAGCTTATCTTGCTCTTATCTCATTTTTTAACCTTCCACTTTGGTCTCCAAATCCCCTGCACTTTAGTTTTCTCAGGACTTCTCTGGGCAGGCTCTGTTCTTGCACACACCACATCTACAGAACTGTCTAGGCCTCTGTTAATTTTTTCTGCATACAGTGATGACCAGGTTTTAGAGGAAGGCATCAGGGCAGGTTTGTGTTATATGGAGCCTCATCATCTTTCACCTTCCTGAGAGTTAGTGTTTTCAAATGCAGAGGACCTGAGTTTGGTTCCTTGCACTCAGGTTGGATGGCTCACTACCATTTGTAACTCTAGCACCACTGCCTTTGATCTCTTGAAGACACTTAAACGTATGTACATATATCCACACATAGAAGCATGCACAGTCATCTCCATACACCTAAAAATAGTTAAAAATAAATATTAATATAATATCTTTTAAAAATTAAAATAGTAGTTCACCCTATGCTAGTTCCACAGTTGATAGTGCAGAGTCAGTGATCTCTCACCAGCTGATTCTGTGGGTTTCCCCATCATGGTCTTGGCTCCTTTGTTCATATTATCCTTCCTCCCTCACTTCGATTGTACTCCAGGAAGTTGACCCAGTGATTAGTTATAGGTCTCCGAATCTGCAACTTCTCTGGTGTTGTGGATTGTAGGCTGATTGTACTTTGCTTTATCTGGAATCCACTTATGAGTGAGTACATACTGTATTTGTCTTAATGGTTTTGGGTTACCTCATTCAGGAAGGTTTTTTTTTTTTTTTTTTTTTTTTTTTTTTTCCTAGTTCTGTCCATTAGAATGCCATTGTTCCTTACCACCGAGTAGTATTCCATTGTGTAAAGGTACCACATTTTCTTTATCCATTCTTCAGTTGAGGGACCCCTGAATACAGGTAACAATGGTCTGGCTTGGGCAATATATGAAGCCACTGACAAGTGACCAAGATCTAACTATAATGCATAAACCGACTCTGTGGAGCCTGTTCTCTATAGAGAGAAACCTTGCTCAACCTAGACACGGGTTGGGGGAGTGCGTTGGGCTTGCCTCAGCAAGGTGGTGGGACAGACTTAGTTAACATCTTAGGGGAGGCTTTACCCTCACTGAGGAACAGATGGAAGGAGGGGAGAACAAGAGGAGAAACTGGGATTGGAATATTTAAAAAAAAAAAAATTTAAAGTAAAACAAATAATAAAGACAAAGTTTTTAAAAAAGCAGTGCCCAGACGTTTTCTTTTCTTTTTCTTTCTTTCTTTCTTTCTTCTTCTTTCTTTCTTTCTTTCTTTCTTTCTTTCTTTCTTTCTTTCTTTTTTTTTCTTTTTTTTTTTTTTTTTTTTTTTTTTTGAGACAGGGTTTCTCTGTATTGCTTTGGAGCCTGTCCTGGAACTCATTCTTTAGACCAGGCTGGCCTTGAACTCACAGAGATATACCTGCCTCTGCCTCCTGAGTGCTAGGATTAAAGGCTTGTGCCACCAACACATGGCTACAAGTTTTATTTTTAAATAATTTCTGGGTATATGAAGGTCAGCTTGATATCTCTCTCTCTCTCTCTCTCTCTCTCTCTCTCTTTCTCTCTGAGGCTGACCCAGTCTGCCCTAGAACTTATTATGTAGCCCAGATAGGCTTCTGACTTGATGATTATCTTCCTGCCACAGCCTCCCAAGCTTTCGACTATAGGCAGATACAGGGATTACAGGTGTATGCCACTATACCTGGCCTGGTTTTATTATTTAAGTGTCATGTCCAGTTAGGGATAATGGAAGGAGTGGTTGGTTACTAGAGAACCAGTCACTTTGTATGTAGACATGTGTGTGCAGGTATGTATGTATGTAAGCAGAGTCCAGAGGTTGTTTTGGGGTATTATCCTCATGTTTTTTAAAGACTATGGATTCAGCTAGGCTCTGGTCCATGAGCTCCATGGATCCACCTGAATGCCTCCCCAGCACTGGAATTGCACATGTGTGCTACTTTGCCCAGATTTTTATGTGTATGTTGGGGTTCTGAACTCAGGGGCTCATTCTTTTGTGGCAGGCACTTTACCTGCTGAACGGTCCCTGGTCTGCTCTGTTTTTCACTCCTTATGCCATGAAAGGCTGAAAGCTGATGTTTTTTTTTTTTTTTTTTTTTTCTTTAACTTTTGCTTGGGTTCAAAGGCTTGCTTTAAAAATGAGAGAGAGTTGGGTAGTGGTAGCCCACACCTTTAAACCCAGCACTTGGAGCAGGTGGATCTCTGAGTTTGAGGCCAGCCTGGTGTACATACAGATTAAGTTCCAGGACAGCCAGGGCTACACAGAGAACGCCTGTGTTAAAAAACCAAAAAAAGAAAAAAGAGAGAAAAGAGGGGGGAGAGGGAGATCTGGATGTGGTGTTCACTCCTTCATCCCAGCACTGAGAGGCAGAGTGTACAGAGCTCTCCAAGTTTTCAGCCAGGCTGGTCTACATAGTCAGATCTAGGCCAGCCTGGGCTACATAGAGAGAACCTGCCTCCAAAAAGGAAGGATGGATCAGAGGGAGGAATTATTTACCTGTGTGCCCTTTCATTTTCTTTGTCAAGATTCTTCAGAGGAGACCCCTCCAGCTACTCAGAACTTTATCATTCCAAAAAAGGAGATCCACACAGTTCCAGATATGGGCAAATGGAAGCGCTCTCAGGTACGAGTGGTACCCACACTTGAGGGTTGGAGCAGGAGTGAGAACTTGAGGCTTTTCAGTAGCTTTCTAGGCAGGCCATGGTTATATGCCCCTTGCCTTTCCTGCTCTTAGAACTGGAGCTGTCTGTTCTAAGGAAGGAGATGAGAAGATAGCTGTCTCCCTCCCTCCCAGCTAGTGCACAGAATTGCTTTATCAGGAAGGTCTGGCTGGGGCCCTGTTAAGTCTGGAGCGTCCCACTCCCGGTTAAATCATTCATTGCTGCTGGATGAACATGAATCTCCTAACTCTTGCTTGTAAGAGCCTACACATGTAGGAGCCAGTGCAACAGGGAGAAGAGACTAGCTTGTGGATAACTCGGCCAGGGACATGACTGCCCTAAATATAGCTGGGAGTTGAGATCCAGCGCCCTGACAGTAGGCTGGCTGTCTCTGCTTGTCAGCCCAGACCGTGGGCAGAAGAAAACTAACTGTGCCTCTTAGGCATCCAGTCCAGAACTGAAGAAAAGAAAGATCACTTGGAAATCTTAGAGAGGGCCTTGGGCCCAGCTCCACGCAGGCACTAATGCCAGTTCTGCAGCTGCCATGGAGAGTGTCATTTGCACAGAAAGCAGGCACAAGGGCCCTTGCTTGTGTGACAGATTGTCCATGCCAAGTCTTCCAGACCTACACCGAGCAGCCATATGCCTTACTCCATTGAGTAGGAAGGGTCACAGGAACCTGTCCCTGCCTTCTTTCGCAAGCCTGCCCTCTGACATATGCAGATGGATATCATGTCCTTTTCTGAGTTTTTACCAGGATAAGCGCCTTATTCCCTTCAGCTGCTCAGAAGACGTGGATGGAACCTTTTCATCATCTCAGTTGCTCTATCTCTGTTTCTCAGTCTTAGCACTGTTTAGTCTTGTAGGAGGCAGTCCTTGAATGGCAGGCTCTAATGCTGGCTCTACCCATTAAATATCACTAGATGTTACCCATACTCGCTCAGCTAAGACACTGTTCTTATCTGGAACTAGCTGTTTGAATCCTTCTGTGACACCACCTTTTGCATTCATGGCAAACACTGACCCTGGTCAGGACAAGGGCTTGGTCCTGTCCTCCTGTGTGGGCGGAGTTTCTGTGCTTGATCCCCCTGGCCTACTGGAGGCCATCTTGCAGGCTGGTAGGGGAACTCCAGTTTGAATTCATTCACTCTAGATGCCAAATGTTTGTTCTCATGGCTTATCCTGGGTATCCCTCCAGACTATGGGAAGTAAAAGGGAGAAATGAAGAAAGAAGATGGAATGGAGACACTTGCTCTCAGAAACTGCTTTTCCCCAGGGGCCTATATCTCTTTTTTTCTCCCTAGGGTAACCCTGCAACACAGCAGGAAGAAAGTCCAGTTGGAAGTGGGGCTGGTGTGACAGCAGACCTGTCTGTAGGCAGGAAACAGCTCCTGCAGCTGCCACCCTGACATGGGGAGATGCTGGAAGATGACCTGGGGAAGGGAATGTTGGGGCATTCCTTGAAATCTACTGGTACAGGGTAGTAGTCAGACATTTAATGGCTACTCAGCTGTATTAGGCTGGCAGGATCCTAGCTCTGTTTCCAATGAACTCTTGGTCCTGGGAAACCATGGGCAGATAGATTACTTCTTCCCTTGAAGTCTTGGTTTCTATGTTAGTAAGATGGTGACAATAGTGTCTTCCCGTGGGACTGCCTAAAGCAATTATAAGCACTCAGTAGACCTTGGCTAGGGGTTGGATGTGGTTGTGATCACTGCATGGTTTTATCATGGGGTGGATGTGTGTATTTGGTGCTTTTGGTGCTGTCTGGGTTGGGAATAGGAGCTAGGGCAGCTGGGATAAAAGAGATCTGACACTGTCTTCCTTCTCTCCCTGTTTGGCAGGCATATGCTGACTACATTGGTTTTATCCTTACCCTCAATGAAGGTGTGAAAGGGAAGAAGCTGACCTTCGACTACAAAGTCTCTGAGGTAGGCACAGGCGAGGAGCCTGCTGCAGGGCCACACGGGTTGACCATCCATGACAGACAAGTTTCAGACGATGGTTTGCCCCAGCATAGTGCAGTTAGCATTTGTGGTCCATACTCCTAATGTTTTAAATCTATGAATAAAATAATATTTATAGCTGAAATCAATGTAAGTATGCAATTTTATAGTCTGTATTTTTTCTAGTAAGTATTTTTGTGAAACTTGAAGTTAAAGATGACAAGAGGGGCTGGGGATGTGACCAGGTGCTTGCCTAGCATGTGCACAGCCTTGGGTTCCATACCTAGAGCTGGAAAAACAAACAACCAAACAAACCAACCAACCAAAGACAGTAGATGGGTTCTATGGAGAGATCACTAGCAGAAATGTGTGGCAACAATGAAAACCAAAACAGGATTAGGTCGCTAGTTCTCTAGAAGTTCCAGCACATACTGGACATGCATAGGCCCTGAATTCAAATTCCATCACCACAATCCCAGAGCAGCCCTGGTAACAGTGCGTACACGTCTCCTGTCGATTGACATAACTGGTCACCCCATTGAGATATTCCCTCATGTTTCCACAGTCCTGACTTTGCAGCTGTATCCCTGGGCACTACTGCTCTGAGCATATGACCAGGAGATGTATGGACCCTGTTTCTTCAGGCTTCATTCTTAGGAGAAACACTGAGCAGAAAACATGGGCGGGCTTGTGCTTTAGGGTTCCCCGTGTGTAAAATAGGTACTCTGTTTTAGAGACAGACCTGATTTAAGAAAAGGCATGAGTTAGAAACAGGTGTCCAGCCACCTCTATCACTGGAGGGTATAGTCTCCCATGCTGCATGCTATGGCAATGCCATCTCCCAGAACTAGGGCCCAGGTCTCCAGTGGCCTCTTGGGTTCATGTCCCAGTTGGCCCAGAGCCACCCTGAGCCTCTTATCTCAGACACCAGCGGCTGAGTGGCCTCTCAGAACTTTGGCTCTCTGCCTTCTAGTTACAACTGGGACCTGTTGGGTAAGGTCTGGTCTTGTCCTGACCTAGTTTCTTCATCTGTTTTAGGCTGACATTGCCCCCCCCTTTTTTTTTTAGCCTTATACCAGGTCGCTGGTACAGCCACTTCTTGGCCCTTGGCTGCTGGGTGACATAGTCTGGTTCTTTCTACTAGATGGGACCTAGGGCTGCACTGGGGAGTCCCTTGAGAGTTAGCCCACAAGTGACTCCTTGGATTGGCTCTTCTTGGGCTGTGGCTTTGAGCATAGGTTGTCTGAGAGGATGAGTTCAGCATTGCCCAGTGTGTTGGAAACATCAAGAGGGAGTTAATTAAAGGAGAATGCTATAATTGCCCCATCGAGGACTAAGCTACCAGCTCTTGGGTCCTCAATTGCTCCTAGGTTTCTGTGGGAGTTGTCCTCAATGATTAGGTGTTACCTTGGCTGATAGGCTGTTCTTTTGGCAGGATCATATCGTGTTTCATAGGGTTTACCATCACACCACCTCTCAGCTGAGTGGCTTTGCCCACCCTCCCCCTTTTTTTTCAGTGCTGGGGATAGAACCCAGCATTTTTGCACATGCTATGTAAGAGCTCTACATTGAACCACATCCCTAATCTCCAGTTCTAGTCCTTGAGACCATGTCTTTTTTTTTTTTTTTTTTTTTTTTTTTTGAGGCTAGGATCTTACTATAGCCTTGGCTGATTTTGTTATTTACTGTGTAAACTAGGCTGGTCTCAAACTTGTGGTCTTCCTGCCTCTGCCTTCTAAGCACCAGGATTGGAGGTTTTCAGCCAGCTTCCTTCTTGTCCTTTCTGGCCCTCTGTAGAGTGGCTGGTCCCTCAGGGTGTAGGACGTGGGGAGCCATTGGGATCCCATGTGCAGGGTTAGCATGTGCTGAATGCCTCTGCTGTTCTTAGTTCCATGTCAGTTCACTCACCTCTGATGTTCCATCAAATGTTCTTGCTTCGGCTGGGGCTGAATCCACACCTCACTGGGTGTACAGCCATAGTCAGTGTGGTCCCCAGAAGTCTCCAGCAGAAAGTACTAGTCACAGCATGTAGTCATGGCTGTATGCAGGGCTTTCCTTGTGCCACTCAGCCTAGCTACCAGAGCTCCTGTGTCTTCTCTGTATAGCACTGATGGATCAAGAGGAAGCAGAGGGACCTGGGCTAGTGATTTCCATACAGCCTGAAGCAGGGGACAAACCATAGCAAGGTAGAGAGTTTGTCTAGACCCATGATGACCAGTTGTTCTTTAGATTGTACCTATGCTAGTACTGGAGAGGTTTTTTTGTTTGTATGTTTGCTTTTTTTTTTTTTTTTTTTTTTTTTTTTAAAGAAAGGGTTATGGATTGGAAGGCTTTTGTTTGTTTGTTATTGAGACAGGGTCTCTGTCCCAGCCTTGCCTGTCCTGGACCTTACTATGTAGACCAGACTGGCCTTGAACTCACAGAGATCTGTGTGCCTTTGCCTCCTGGGTGGTGGAATGAAAGGCATTTGCTACCACACCTAATTTTGTGTTTTCTTTTTTCTTTGTGGGTTTTTTTTTTTTGTTGGTTTTTTTTTTTTTTTTTTTTTTTTTGGTGTTTGTTTGTTTGCTTTTGGTTTTTGAGAAAGGGTTTCTCTGTGTAGCCTTAACTATCCTGGAACTCACTTTGTAGATCAGGCTGGCTTCAAACTCATAGAGTTCTGCCTGCCTCTGCAGAATGAGAAGTTGGCAAGTATAATTTTGGAGAAAGAAGATTTAGTGGTCTATGAAGTTCAAGAGGCATTGCTATAGGACACAAATTATTCGTTGTGCCTTGCTGTTGGGCAGGGTGGAGTGGGATGGGGTGGTTCCAGTCGAGGTTTGCCTCCTCTCTAGCCCTTTTCTCCCAGCAGGCCAGACAATGGAGGCAAGAGGAGGAGCTGTGAGTCTCTTATATATTTTATCAGCCCAGCTGAGCTAGCTGGGCTGGACCCAGGCTCCAGCTAGCCTCAGGAGTCACATTCTTTAATCCCCTTTAGTGCCTTGTCAGGGTCGCAAGCAGAGATCTCCAGGGAGAGAGCCTGCTGCTTCCTGGAACTAATTCCCCATCCTCCTGCAAGCCCCAGCTGCCATGGGAAATGAGCTTTGGTCTGTATTAACAGCGGTTCCTAGTTACGTGGTTCCTCACAAAGCCTGGCTCTGGCAGCAGTTTGTGTTACAGTTCAGCAAGACATTTTTATGTCACACCAGCTACCAACTCAGCCTACAGGTAGCTTACCTTCCTACCATGCCCCAAGCATGGGGAGAGGTCATTCAGGCCCATTGTTAATGCTGTGCAGTTAGAGTCTATGTAGCTGGGGTCACTGGCCAGCAGTTATCTCGAATTAGCCCCAGGCCTCACTCCAGGAACATGGCACCTAAGGAACATGTGGATAGATGCCTGACCTGATTTCCTCTGTAACTAACATTTGATGTGATGATGCCTCTCACACCTGTGACTCTGGTTTTGCTTCCTGGTACTGTTTGTGGAGGTGGCATGGAGACATGGCTTCCCAGGCTGCTGGCTGTCAAAGCTTTGTACAGATGACCCCAGATTTGCACTCAGATAGCGCTGCAGAATTGTGGACCAGTATTGTCTATGGTGGTGAAATATGAAGAAGACCTAGACATTTAACAGTGAGGACCATTAAGTGGGTCACAGCATTCTGTGTACACATTGGTATGGAATGAGGTTGTGGGTTGAGGGAGTAGGCTGAGGCAGTTGTCCATGGTCCAGTTTCAGAGTCTGCAGGTATCTGTGGCAGGCTCTTATACCTTAGGAGGTATAGATCCTTGCCATCACATTTGGAATAAAGAAACAAAAGATTGGGGTCTTCCAGTAGCTCCATGCTGTTTTAGTAGAGGGTTGGAGCCAGGCTCTCTCCCTGTGGAGTTCTTGAGTAGGGGAGCACACTAGAGCAAAGAAGCCAGGGTGTCAAGATGTAGGCAGTGTTTGTTTTGGATGGTCAGGATTACTGGCTGTATAAGTTGTCTTGTTGCTGTGGTCAGTACCTGATAGGAAGCAGCTTAAGGGAGGGGGTTATTCTGGCTCTAAGTTGAGGTGCAGTTCATCATGGCAGGGAAGGTAGAACAAGCTAAAGGGATGTGAGGTTCATATGACATCCACAGCCAGGAAGCAGAGAGATGAAAGTTGATGCACAGCCGAATTTCTCCTTTTATCCCTTTTATTCATTCTGGGATCCCATCTATAGGGTGATGCTACCCACATTTAGAGTGGGTCTTCTCAGTTAAACCACCTGGAAATGCCCTAGGGACATAACACAGAAGTAAATGCATCATGCTGACAACGAAGATTGTCTTAGTGCTTCTTTTGCTGTTATAAAGCAATGTAACCAGCAGGGCGTGGTGGCACACACCTTTAATCCCAGCACTCAGGAGGTAGAGGCAGGCAGATCTCTGTGAGTTCAAGACCAGCCTGGTCTACAGAGTTCCAGGACAGCCAGAGCTGTTAACACAGAGAAACCCTGTCTAGAAATAAATAAATAAATAAATAAATAAATAAAGTACCATGACCAAAAGCTGCTTTGGAGAGGCAAGGTTTTATTTCAACTTACAACTCTCCTGTCATAGTCCATCAGTCACTGGGGGAAGTCAGGGCAAGAACTCCAGGAGAGAGGCCATGGAGGAGTGCCGCTTACTGGTTTGTTCTTATGGCTTGCTCAACTTTTTTCTTTCTTCCTTTATTGTTTTTTTGAGACAAGGTTTCTCTGGGTAGACACCTGGTTGGCCTTGAATTTCAGAGATCTGACTGTCTGTGCCTCCTAAGTGCTGGAATTAAAGGTGGTGAGCCACCACTGCCCAGCTTCAGTTTGTTTCTTATAGAACTCAGGACCACCTGTCCAGGGTTAACACTGCCCACAATAAGCTGTGCCCTCTTATATCAATCATCAGTCAAGAAAATGCACCACAGCCTTGCCCATTGGCCAATCTAGTGCGACAATTTCTAGCTTTGCTATAAAACTAGCTGCCATAGAAATGAAGTACCACATTGCATTTCTGTTCTCTCCTGTTCATGCGTCTGTGTTGTTGAGTGAAAGACTTCAGTCATATCTGCTTTAATGAAGATTGGGGCTGGGATTTGCGCCTATCTAGTGGCCCTTCCTGGATAGGCTGGTTGAAGACACAACTATCCGTGACACTGTCCTGTTAGCCATGTGCGATTCCCTCCCTGACCCTCCTTTATATTGAGGACAGTTTGGAATGAGGATGACAGCTAGGCCAGACTAGGGACTACCTTCCACACCAATTGAGACTTCCTTCTGTGGCTCCAGCAGGGCCACCCGTCAGTGGTGTGGTTCTTCTGTCTCACATTCACAGGCCATTGAGAAGCTGGTGGCTCTTCTTGATACGCTGGATAGGTGGATTGATGAAACCCCGCCGGTGGACCAGCCTTCCCGATTTGGGAACAAGGCCTACAGGACCTGGTATGCCAAACTTGATCAGGTGAGACTGTCAGAGCACGGGCTGGGCCGGGCCAGGGGGAGGACTACTATGGCTCCAGATGGGGCAAGGTCTGTGTTCAAAGCAGGCCTGTCTAGCTCCCAAGCATAAAATCAGGTAATCTATTAGAATGGCAGTTTTGTTTATCTTAAGTTACAAAATAATCCTCTGTCCCAACGAGTCTTCTGGGAACTGCAGGTGTGGCTACACAGTCCCCTCTATGAGGCTGTTTAGTAAGTAATTTTATTAGCAGCAGATTGGAAATGACTCAGGTACACATTGTAAGAGGACAAGGAGTGGTCTTTTCAGGGCTGCAGTTGGAGCCCGCTGAGTGGCCCCAAGTCCATACCTGAGTGGGGGAATGTGGATGAGGGAAAGGCTAGCTATAGGTAATAAAGAAAGAGAGACAGAATAAAGGTCAGGAGGGCAGATCAGTCAATACTGAAATGCCACGAGTTTATTTTCCGACACAATTATATACCATAACCAAAAGGGGAACACAGTATCATGTATATGGAACAGACTTTTCTTCCTCACTCATTCCAAGGGTTCAATAACCACACCTTAGCTCTAAACTTTGTTTCCTAGCCTTGAGGTCAGGAGTAGCCATACCTCAGATTCAGGTCTGTTATTTAGACTAAGATGGCTGAAACATCCTTCTGTAGCTACACCTTTGGCCTTTAGGTCTTGTGACTTGCTAACAGCTTTGAACTCTGTCCTTGTGCCAAGATGGAGTGCAGCCATCTTTATGGGCACCCACAAAGTTAACTATCCTAGATCATCCATACTGTAGAATAATATGAAGCTCTGAAAAAGAATAAGGAAGCTGGGTGGTAGTGACATGCGCCTTTAATTCCATCACTCAGGAGGCAGAGTTAGTCGGAAACCCCCCCCCCAAAAAAAAGATAAAGGGAAAGCTGGGCAGGAGCGTATACCCTTTAATTTTGGGTGGCAGAAGCAAGTGAATTCTTGTGAATTTGAGACCAGCCTGATCTCTATAACAAGTTCCAAGCCAGCCATGGTTACATAATGAGACCCTATCTTTTAAAAACCAAAACAAACAAAAAAACAAAAACAACATAAGTTTTAAAAAGTTCCACAGTCTTTAAAAAAAATTCTTACCACCTACAAGGTCCTAGTTCTCTTTAAAATCTGAGTCTTAACTGGACTCTTGTAAAAAAAAAAAAAAGTTATATACTTTTATAGTTGATAAGGGGAACAGTCAAAGTATGGTTATGAGATCAAAGCAAAACTAAATGCAATAGTCTAAAAAACTCAGCTTCAGACTGACAGTGGTGTCACACGCCTTTAATCCCAGCACTTGGGAGGCAGAGGCAGGTGGATCTTTGTGAGTTCAAGGCCAGCCTGGTCTACAGAGTGAGTTTCAGGACAGCCTCCAAAGCCACAGAGACAACCCTGTCCCAACCCCCCACTCAAAAAAAAAAAAAAAAAAAAAAAAACCCAAATAAACAAAAAACTTAGCTTCTTACATCTGGAATTTCCATATGACCTTCTAGGCCCCAAAGGACTTGGGCAGCCTTGCATTTCCAGCTCTGCTGTCTGCAGCACGAGTAACTTGTCTTGTCAGCTCAGGTTGGCTCCATTCTACTCTCTCTACAGTCCTTGCATTTTCGCTGTCCTGTGGTTTTCACTGCAAGGTAGGCTGCACCATCACTAATAGCCCCACACCCCAGCCTCTCTTTAGGGACTGTGACCTTACCACTTGATGTCAAGCCCCAGTTTCTCTCCTTATGACTCCTCATGCCTTTAGAATTATACCATGTGAAGGCTCTTACACATTGCTCAGTTCAATTTCCAGCTGTAGATGCAGCCTTGCCCAGACCACAGCTTTTCTACACAAATTTGTCTACACAGTTTGTCTGGTGTGAAGTATTTCCCAGAAGAGTTCTTCTTAAGGATGCTGATCTCATATCAATCACAATCAGTTTCTCAGCACCAGCTGACTAGAAACCTTCATATGAACAGCCTCTGTAGAATCTGCTTCTTTGTGAAACTTAACAAGCTGGGCCTCCATTGTCTGCATTTTTCTCAGTATTCTTCCAAGCTCCTACAGAACTGTCTATTAAGGTCTGAGGACTCAATGTCTTTTCCAGCTGTGTTCCAGACACTTCCACAGTCTTCCAGCAAAACATGGTCAGATCCGTTGATGCAACACCCCACTCCTGTACCAGTTTCTGTTCTTTTGGTCATGGTGTATATTGGCAGTAACAGAGAATAATAAGCAAACTGAAATATTTAATCCAAAGCCAGAATTAATTTACCCTTTTTTTAATGAAACTCAGGTTGGTAACTCAAATTGCAGGTTTTTGGGGTTTTTTATTTTTTGTTTTTTTCTTTTTCTCGAGACAGGGTTTCTCTGTATTGCTTTGGATCCTGTCCTGGAACTAGCTCTCTAGACCAGGCTGACCTCTGCCTCCTGAGTGCTGGGACCAGATGTGTGTGCCACCAATGCCCAGCTCAAATTACAGTTTTTAAAATCAAATATTTACTGTGGCTGGAAAGATGGCTCAGCAGTTAAGAACATGTGTTACTATATTTGAGACAGAGCCTTTCTAGTTAATCTGGGATGTCCTGGAACTTGCTTTGTAGACCAGGCTGGCCTCAAACTCACATAGATCTTCCTTCCTCTGAGTGTTGGGATCAAAGTCATGTATCCCAATCATGCAGGGGATACTGTGGTAGAGAACCTGAGTTCAGTTCCTAGCACCTACACTGGGTTGTGGGGATTTATTCCGCCAATAGCTTTGGAGTGGTTTCTTGTCTGTGTATGTTATCTTTGGTTTTTTGTATTGTTTTGGAAATTGCTTTGTAGATCAGGCTGGCCTTGAACCCACAGTGAACTCACAGAGATCCACTTGCATCTGCCTCCCAAGTGCTGGGGTTAAAGGCATGTGCTAACAACACCTGGCCAGATGTTATCTCTTAAAAGGAGAGAGGCAGGAGTTCTCCCTTTGTTTTGAGAATACTGGGTCAGGTGGCTTGAAGCAGCATGTGGCCAGTTCCCATCTCCCTTGGGCAGAAGGACTTTGCAACTGGTTATCCTTGTCCTGTATCTGTGATTCTATTTTCCCCATAGCATCTCTTAATAAATTGATATATATATGAATATATATCTGTGATTCTAGTAACACTGGGTAGCTCCTGGCTACCTGCAACTGCAGTTCTGAACTCCAGATATTCATACATGCACTGAAGGCATGCAGAGTGCAATCTAGAGATACATTAACTTGATTGGTGCTGAGGAGTGACAGCAGGGGCATTAGAAGTCTTTGTTTTCTGTAGCTAAGCCATTATATTTCTTTGGATTTGGTTTTTAGTTTTTTGAGACAGGGTTTCTCTGTGTAACCCTGGCTATCCTAGAACTCGCTTTGTAGACCAGGCTGGTCTCAAACTCAGAGATTTGCCTGTTTCTTTCTGCCTCTCGAGTGTTGGGGTTAAAGGTGTGCATCTCCTCTACCCTGAAAGCCATTATAATTCTATTAGAGAACACTACAGAGAAAGTTCTGCAGTTCTCAACATCTGAGCCTGGGTATGTCAGTCAGGGCCCATTGTATTGTGTGGTGTGATGGCATACATTACATGACAGCACTCACAGTGCCCAGGTGCGTGTTGTGTTCTCAGAACCAAGGCTGCAGTAACATGTGTTGCAGCGGAGGAGAGCATTGCCAAAAACACCTTGGACTCACAAATGCAACTGATTTTTTTATTGTTGTTTGTACTGTTGTCACCCTCACATTCAGCTACCTCTCCCCACAGTTTTAGGAGTTGTGTTCTCAGCTAGTTTGGGCTACAGACTCAGACAAGCAGACAAATAGAGCCTGAGCCCAGTGTGCTGATGTACAAAATTTGTATCCTCTGAGTTGGGAGGGGGAGTTAGAAATGCATGCTTGTGCTGCTCATATTTGCAGAAGACATACCCAGTAGAGTCCAGGAAGGTCATAAAGCTCTCTGTACTGTGCCATACCCCAGCTGTGGGTTTTTAGGACAGTGAAGAATGGGGTGGAAGTAGACTCCTGTGCCACCTCATGACTCTGGTGGTATGTGGGCTTGGTTTTTCACAGAATATACGTGAAGTTAGAGCTTAGAAGAAAGCTGATGATAGCTTTTCAGCTTGGTGGACCTTTGTATTTTTGTAGTATACCCACCACCAAGTCACGCTGCAGAATATTCCAGCTCTCTGGTAGGACCTTTTAAATTTGAGAGAGTTGATATCCCCCAGACTCTCTTGATTGCTAATTCATAACATTGATTTTATTTGCATGCTTTTGAATTTCATGTTTTTGTAGCCTCCTTTACTTGATGTTCCATAGCTGAAATCATCATGTTGTCACTTGTGGCTTATCTTTCCCTTTATTGTGTGTTTTGTTACAGAAAAATGTACAATTTTATTAATTCTGCTATTTTTGGGACATTCTAGTTGATTTTTTGCTTTGTTTTTCATTTGTTTAGTTTCTGAGACAGTTTCTTTGTGTAGCCCTAGCTGTCCTTGAACTCACATAGATCTGCCTGCCTCTGCCTCCCCAGGGCTGGGATTGAAAAGGCCTGTACCACTACAGACTGGCATCTAGTTGAATTTTTTATGTTTTGGCTACCGTAAATAATGTGGGTTGGGAACATTTCATGTGTCGGTCTGTCATGGCAGACTTGTGGCCTGCACTCTTACTTCCCTGGGAATGGAACCAGCAACTATGGGGACAACAGGCCTGATGCCCCATAGCCTCTGCGGGCCTGGCTGATGGTGACCTACCACATGGGAGGATTAGCTCTTGTCTTGCTCTCAGAGTCACCCCAGGTGTCTGTTACTTCCCCTTCCCTTTTCTGTGGCCAGTCAGAACAGGGAAGCAGGTCAAGCTGGTAGCCTGGACCCCAGGCAGATGCCGCCCCAGGGTTCCTGCTCCCTTAGAGGCTGCCTAATCTGCTGCCATCACTGTGTGTCTCTTATGTTATCAGGAAGCAGAGAATTTGGTGGCCACAGTGGTCCCCACCCACCTGGCAGCTGCTGTACCTGAAGTGGCGGTTTACTTGAAGGAGGCTGTAGGAAACTCCACGCGTATTGACTATGGCACAGGTACCTGCTGCTGCGGGGCTTGGGTGACTTGAGCCTTGCTGCTTTCTTTATGTTGCCCGGGCTGTTTTCTTCATGCTCCACATAGCCCCTGTCCGCATGCCCCCCCCCCCCAAGTGTGCCCTCTATCCATCCATTCAGCTGTCCAGCAGAGAGAGAGAGAAAGAGAGAGAGAGAGAGAGAGAGAGAAGAGTGTGTGTGTGTGTGTGTGTGTGTGTGTGTGTGTGTGTGTGTGTGTGTGTGTGTGTCTCGGGGTGAGGGTGGGGCCTCTGTGCTCTATTTTCTTCCACCAGGTGGCGCCACTGCCACAGGCATGGCACCTGCTGAGCCGGATTCAGTTTAGTTGTTTGTAATGCTGGCTTCTGATTAAGCTCTTCATCACTCTAGTGATAGAAGCTGAGAAAAGAAAGACCTTCTGTAGCCCACCCTCTCCCTGACATCTCTTGTCTCTTAGCCCTTTTCTTTGTGCTGATAATCTTTGGCTATGCCATCTATTTCAGCCAAGCTGTTGTGGGTACTTTAAAGAGAAGTGCTTTCTAGATCAGAGGTGGCCTCTATAGTCCAGGAGACTCCTGTTGTGGTAAGGGCTTCCTTTCCTCCTGCTTTCTTGGGGAAGGAGGGCCAGAGGGAGCCTGGTTCCAGACCAGTTTTGGAAAAGGTTTCTCTGAAGCAGAACCTGAGAGAACTTCGTCCTCTGCTCACCCAGCTGGGAACAGTTCTGAGACCCTGGATGTGGACCCAAGTAGGAGGAGGCAGTGGCAGGTGAATCTCTGTGAGTTCAAGGCCAGCCTGGTTTACAAAGTGAGTTCTAGGACAACCAGGGCTACACAGAGAAACCCTGTTTCAACCTCCATTTCCCACCCCAAAACCCAATTAAGAAACACCCCCTCTCCCCCAGGACAGGGTTTCTCTGTGTATCCCTAGTTGTCCTAGAACTTGCTCTGTAGACAAGGCTGACCTCGAACTCACAGAGATCTGTCTGCCTTTGCCTCCCGAGTGTTGGGATTAAAGGTGTGTGTCACCACTGCCTGGCAAGGAAAAGATTTCTAGGCCAGTGGGGTCATTTAGAAATTTACAGGTGAAAGTAGCTGAGCATATATGCTTCCAGATTCTGTAGGCTCTTTGTTCTGTATAAATAGCCTGAAACACCTGGCTTCACCTTTTTCCAGATAAGGAACAGGGTCCAAGGTCCAGCCAGTACCTTCTGCAGCGCTGACTGTTGCTGGTGGATGTGACAGGGAGAGAAAAAAAGGATACCTTAGCCTTTTGTAATTTGTCCACATGTTCCCAGTGCTCTTGGGACCGTGCCCACACTCCTTACCATGGCTATTCAGGCCATCTGGTGAGAGGCTTCTCCCTCACCTCTGTTGAAGACTTATTGCTTACTTGCCTTGAGCCTTTGCATGTGCTTTTGCTTCTCCTATTTCCTACTGTCCCCCTCCTCCCCAGCCATTACCCATTCCTCTGTTGTTTCAAACATTTCCTTAGGGGAAATCCTTGAACTCTGAAATCAGGGTTCCCCTGGGATATGCCTCAGGTACCCACCTGTATCCTGCATAGCTAGATTCACAGTAGTTACTGTATATTTAATGTCTGTGGCTTCTGACAGATCATGAGCTCTTTGAGGCAAGGACTCCTTTGTAACTGGGAGCTAGCATTAGTCATTGACTGACTACCCACATAGTAGGTGCTCAATAAACTGGGGTTGCTAAGATGTCAAACCTATAAAGTAAGATGCAAGTGCCTGTGCAGGAAGTTGACCTCAAGGCCCATCGGGAAGTGTGCCAGTGCTTGTGGTTGCTGAAGGGCCCAGGTCTTCTGGACAAGGAAGAAGTCTCATCTCAGTATGGGCCTTCCTCCTTAAAAGAGCTGAACACTGGGGACTTCTTCTGGAGGTGCCAGCCTGAGTTGTTTTTCTTCCCCAGGGCACGAGGCTGCCTTTGCTGCTTTCCTCTGTTGTCTCTGCAAGATTGGGGTGCTCCGAGTAGACGACCAGGTGGCTATTGTCTTCAAGGTGTTTGATAGGTGAGACTTGGCTTGGCGGGGAAGAGATGGTGGGCCCCTGTCCCTGGTGTTCACCATGTGGAGGCACTGTTCTGAGGTGGACCATACAACTCAGTTAATTCCCTATGATGTAGCAGCTGCCTCCCTCTTATGGAAGAAGAAACAAACAGGTTTCTGTTGAGGTCACAGTCCGCCAACCAAGGCAGGAGGCAGTTTCTTCTGGGCAGCACAAGTGTGCGCTATGGTTGGAATTTTCTTTGGGCTGCCAACCAGCTCCCAAATAAAGACACAGAGACTTAATTATTAATCAATTATTAATTATGAATGCTCAGCCTTAGCTTACATTTGTCCCACCAGCTCTTATAACGTAATTTAACCTGTTTCTCTTCATCTGTGTTTTGCCTACTTTCCTGCTTCCTCTGGCTGGCTGGCCCTTGGTGTCTCCTTTTCTTTCTTCCTGAGCCTACCTCCTGTCACTTACTCTCCCTGTCCCAAAGTCTTGTCTATACCTCCTCCCTCAGCTTTTTATTAAACCAGTCAGGTGGTTTAGGCAGGCAAGGTAAACTGACAACGCATCTTTTCATAATTAAATGCAACACATCTTTGCATAGTTAAACAACTATTCCACAAGAGTGCAGAAATGTGCTCTGAGCTGCAGTGGTCCCAGGGCACACTGGCATGCTGGTGTTGAGGCACAGGACAGCTCTGCAGGTGACCCAGGCACTCAATCTGTTGTCTGACTTCTTCACCCACTTCACAGTGGTACCTGAGGTTAGAGAAAGGGACTCCTGCTGATGACACTAAGCCTGGTTTCCAGGTGGTGTTTCGTCTCTTTCCCTGACAGAAGATGTATGAGGGAAAGAGAAAGAGCCCCATCGGCTCTTTCAGCTTCGCCATTCTCCTACCCTTCCTGTGCTGAAGAACACCATTTGTTACCTTCTTACCTTTCTCTCTCCTTTTCCCCCCACCCCCCTCCGGCACAGGTACCTTGAGGTCATGCGGAAGTTGCAGAAGACGTACAGAATGGAACCTGCAGGCAGCCAGGGCGTGTGGGGTCTGGATGACTTCCAGTTCCTGCCCTTCATATGGGGCAGCTCACAGCTCATAGGTACTAGGTGGTCATGTCTCTACTTTGAACCCCAACTCCCTCCTTTTTCCAGAAAGCTTTCTGACAGCTTGTAGAGCGGGACATTAGCCTAGCTATTGATGGAGTCTGATTGCTGTTGACTTAATGCTTTCAGTCAGTATGGCCATCTGGAGGAGATGGAGGTGGAGTACCACCCAAAAAAATGGATAGTGACATGGACTGGAGCAGGGGCATGTGCCTGGTACTTACTTAATAGACTGGTGTGAATGCATGCAGCCCCTGGCAACCATAGCTGTGGGGTTATGTTGAAAATTATGGCCTGTTTTGAGTTGGCAATCATCAGTGTCATCCACTGTTGTTACTGCACTCTGTGCAGGGAGCATATGGGGAGTTGCTGCCAAGTGCTGTTTCCTGTGTGCTTCCCAGGTTTGCTCTGCCAGGCTCCTCACTTTGAAATGATTGTCCAGGCATGGTCAACATCTTGGGATCTGCCATTGGGCAGGGTTAGCAATCATCTTTAGTTCATGGATAATGCACAACTACTGATTAATACTCACAAATGCCTAATGGCTGAGAATTTGCCATTCTAGATACCTCCACCAGTCTTCTCAGGGGCTCCAGCGTCTGGTGGGGTAGAGGGGGAGGCTGTTGCATAGATGCAGAGCCTGGAAGGCTGGAGTCATCCATCCAAGGGCTCACTGCCACATGCTGAGTTGAGTTTGGTTTTCTAGGACACAGTCCTGCATATAGCTGCATGCTTTCATTGCATGAGCACTGTAGTGTGTGCTTCTCACACTGTAGTGTGTCTTCTTGACATAGTGTCCTGGCTGGTCTGAAACTCACTAGTCTCTACGTGCTGGGACTAAAAGTACATACTACCACACCCAGCTGAATACATTCCAAAAAGCAGGGGTCAGTGCTGACAAACCAGGAACAGCATTGTTGTCATGGTTAAGTAGGTACACGGTACTCAATCCTGCTGCGTCTATCCCCTCTGCTGACTGGTAGGTAGCACAGCAGGTTTGTGTGCACCAGCATCACCACAGGCACACGCATGGTGGCTCATTATGATCTTTAGACACCAGGCAAGCACTCTACCACAGCTCTGCCCCAGCACACCATCACAGTGGTTATAAAGTATCTGTGGTGGGTACCTTGTGTCAGGCTGGATCAGGGCTGTTCTACAGGCCAGGCCTCTGCTCTCCCCAGACCACCCCTACTTGGAGCCCAGACATTTTGTGGATGAGAAGGCAGTGAGTGAGAACCACAAGGACTACATGTTCCTGCAGTGCATCCTCTTCATCACTGAGGTGAGAGCCACAGCAGCCTCCGTTAGCCAGCCTCGGCTACCAGGGCCTGCTTGCCCAGCCATCAGTCCCCCTCCCCCACCCCAAGATCTTTCATTGTTTGGTTTGAGTTAGAGCCTCACTCTGCTGCCCAAGCTGGCCTTAAATTCATGACAATCTTCCTGCCTCAACCTATTGACTGCGTGGGATTACAAAACAAGCAGCCACACTCAATTCCTACAGGGCTCCTGAGCTGATGGACTAAGTTGTAGTTTTTAGCTAGACTTGGTGACCGGCAGCTGGCCTGAAAGGGTGACAGGCTTTGTGGTGGGGCAGGGGTGGGGGGACAGTCATCTATCAGAGCTCAGGGATTAGGTCTATAGAGCCATGTGCTATAGAATCATGCTGGAATCTTTAGAGGAGCTGGAGTGATAGAAGTAGCTAGCTGTCTGTCGTCTGTGCTTCGGCAATGTGCTAGAAGTGATAACAAGCAGCCTGTGGTGGCAGTCACTGGGCCCTATACCACCTGTTTCACTAAGGCAGGATTCCCTATAGTGTGGTGCTGGAACATTCCCCAAGGTGGCCCTTGAACTCTGAAAATTCATGGCCTTGGGCCCATGCCAGCTTTCTCACTTAGAATCTTATAGACACGAGCGAGGACCTCCTCAAGGAGCCCACAGCCTCAGGGCCTTGCTGCTAGTAGATGTTGGACCATTTCATTCTCCCACCTATACCTGGAAACTCTCTCACCCCAAATCTACAAAGTCCTGTTTTCCTGCTCTTCCTTTAGCCACCTGCATGTCTGCTGTGTGGAAATGCACATGGACTCCTACCCTTGAACACTCCCTGTTCCAAGCCTCTGAGTAGGGAAGAGCCTGGTTAGCAGACTTGACTCTTAAGTTCCTTCTGGTCAGCATTCACCTCAGGCTTCAGCCAAGCTCCAGGGGCCAGAGGGGAATGACACATTTTCTCCAAGTCAGCAAATGGAGCCAGGACTGATGGCTGGGCAGCCACTACTTGGTTCTTGGAGATGTGCTGCCTTCAGCAGTGTGGCAGGCTCAAGGTCAGAAGGACTTGGGGGCAGCCTGGCTCACTGCCTTGAAAGCCAGCTGTAGAGGGCTCCTTCAGGGTGGAGTGCTGGGCTGGGGAGCTCTAGGATGAGGTGGAAGGACTGGATGGGATGGAGCCATACATTCTGCAGAGTTTGCTGCTTGAGGCCAAAAGCTTGTTTCTGCTTCCCTGGTCGCCTGCCAAGCCCCTTACATCCTTGTCAATAATTCTAACAATAAGGCTATCCAGGCTGGGCTTTAGGGACTGGGAATCAATCTCATGCTAAGACTTAGCATGTTTGTTTGTTTCTGCTGGCATAACACCCCATAAGCTTCCCCAAAGTTTGGGACAGAGGACCCCATCGAAGAGAGCCCAAGGTAACCACAAGGTGGCGCTAAAAGTGCATTGAACTTGGTCGGCTTCTGTAACAGAGGTAGGAAGTGGGAAGGGTAGGTTTTTGGCTGTTGTGCACCTTCTCTGCAAGGCTTGGTTTGCTCTTCATTCCAGCAGGGTCAAGCTCTGATTGGTTGCTAGGCATTGTGGTAGCAAAGGGCCCTTTAGCGTGACTGGGTTGGATGGTTGCTGTTGCAGCACACTGTTGTTTCACAGGCCCCCACCCCCACTAGCCTTCTGTGCGCTTCAGAGAAGTGAGCAGCATTTTATGACCTCTGATCAGTAAGTGAGTGAGTAGCTTGGTTAGGATCACCCAGATTCTGGGGCACAGCAACCTGGATGTCTATGAGATGTTCAGGGCTCTGTTGCCTCTGGAGACCAGAAATCCCTACTGGTTAAACAAACCCAAGGAAGTTGGTTAGGAAACCACTTCCCTTTGCTGGGCCTTGTGTTGGGACTGCTTTGATACCCTGGGCATGGCAGCTGAGGAAGCCCACCTTGCAGGGCTCCTACTGCTTTAGGAAATGCAGCCCTGGTGCCTTTAAGAGCCCAGGGCAGGCAGGAAAAGAATTTCAGTTTCAATCTGGCTTCTAAATTTGGAGTTTTGGGAAGGGAGGGATCAGATTTCAGCTGGAAGGGAAGGAGCTGACAGGAAGGCGCTGTGCTGAGCCTCCCCCACCCCCGCCCATCCCCCTCAGTTACTGACAGAGGAACCATTTACAAAAGGCCGATTCTCTGGGGAGTGGAGAGGCAGGAACGCAGCGTCTGTGAGTAATTTCCTGCTCAATATGGCTGCTCTGACTCACACGATTCCCCTGGGGTCACTGCGGGACTGCAGTTGCTTGCTTGTTCTTGCTCTTTCTCTTCTCCCTTTGTGGCTAGAGTGAGCTAATATTTTTTTCTTTTTTTTCTTTTGTCTTCTCACCCCCAATTCCTTTTTTCCCCTCATCTGTTTTTTTTTTTTTTTTTTCTTTCTTTCTCTGAGTTGCAGAGCCTTCTTTTGAAGGACTTGGAGACCTGAGGCACTGAAGGCCTGGGGGTGGGGTAGCCTCTCTAGAGACATACTGGGTCTCACCACTCACTCTGCAGCCTGCCAGACAGCCCTTTCTGAATGTCCCTTGCTAGGGAGCTAGGCTGGTCCCCCAGGCAAAGTCTTAGTGTCCCTTTCTGTGTCTTTGCCCCAGAGCCCTTGAGCACCTGCTAGGAGACAAAACATTAGGCAGTTGGCTCAGAGGGTCTGCATTCTCCAGCAGTCTCATGCCTCTGGCCTGCAAGTGTGTAAGACTTGCAGTGTAGAGACTAAGGGTGGAGGGAGTCTTTGTAGGACTGTTGGGATGAATCTTAGGAAGCCCAGGGCCCTAGAAACCTTGGAGCCTCTCTTGGTTCCTGATTAAGGAAAGACTTCACAAATGCCTGGTAGAGAACAGGGCTGGCTTTGGAAGTTTGGTGACTTCACCACTGGGGAGGGGCCACTGAGACAGGCTCTCATTGGGGACTTTTGCCAGGGGAGGGAGAAATGGGGAAAATGGAAGTGTTTCTACTTTAAATCTAGAAGTTGCTCTTACTGAAGTAGAGGCCTGTGGGAATGGACCACCAGATGAAGTCACAGCCGTAAAGTTTCCTGTAATGCCCCATACAAAGAATGTTTGGGTTTATCTTTTCTCCTTGGACTAGCCCCTACCTTACCCCCACATCCATGTATAGCCTCTTCTGGAACCTTCCACTGACTAAGGTCCAGGTCTCAACTTCCTTGCCAAACTCAGTCACTTTGCTTTTCAAGAGTCTTACTCTGTAGCCTGGGGCTGGATGCTGAGCCCTGTTCTCAACATAAATGCTGCTTGTAAACTGGGAAGGGACTGAGGAGGGTGTGGTGAACTGCATGGTTAATAACTGCACTGGCCTTGTGCTGTCCCTGCCAGAGTCCACTCAGGACACAGGCTTCCCGTTCCTCATGCTGCGGATCTGATGTCACAGGAACTGCTCTGGACTTGTGAAGTGCTTCTTTGCCTTCCTGGAGTCAGGTTCTTGCGCAAGAAGGACCGCAGTGATGGAATTTATGTGTTCCTACTGATTTTATTGTGGCTATTTCTGCCTCCCTCTTGACCTGGCTAAACAGATTGTCCTCCTGTACTGCTCTGGAACTGTAGCCTCCTTCTTGTCTGCCCCTCTTCCTTCCCTCTGTCACAACAGGGTCCTCCCATAGCCCTGTCCTTGCCCTCTGAGGTCTGCCTGGCAGGTACAGTCCGAACTCCCTACAGGGCAGAGAAGGGAGCCTGACTGCTATCTGAATGGGAGCATAGCCTACTCTCCTAGAGTGGAGATTTTGTTTTCCTAGGGTTGCTAAACTTGATAGGTATTGGGAATGGAGCCTGTTTACAGTCTTGGAAAAGAAAGGTAAGTAGAGGATGTGGGTAAGAGAGGTTGAGAGAGGTTATGTTTTTCAGCAGGCTTTATAGGTTGCCCCTCCCCCATCTCTTGTGTGTGTGTTCTTGTGTCCATGTTGCAGGAGAACAGGGTTAGACCCCCAGGTGGCTTCTGCCTCTCTAGTTCCTGGACTTTGTTTTCCAGATGAAGACCGGCCCCTTTGCAGAGCACTCCAACCAGCTGTGGAACATCAGTGCTGTCCCCTCTTGGTCTAAAGTGAACCAGGGCCTCATCCGCATGTATAAGGCGGAGGTGAGTGGGGTCTGGCCAGCATGCCTGCCCCTGCTGACACTTAGTTCTGGGGGGGGTGAGTTCAGGACTGCTGATTCTCTCTGAAACTTGAGGACTTCAGAACCTGGTTGGAAGTCACAAGGCACCGGGCAGAGGTCCACCTCAGCCCTGTATAGCTTAAGGACTGAAACAGCCCTCGATTCCAGAGAAGGCACCTCAAAGCTCTGGTAACCTGAGTGTCTCTCCCAAAGTGACTAGGGCATCCTTGGGGGTAGGTGTGATCCTAGAGCCACTATAAAAAATGAGCTATCCTCCTGTAGAAGGTGACTAGAAAGAGGGTAGGGTCAGAGGTGGTGACCCACATTCTTTAGTGGGTAGGGCAGGGTGTGGGTTCTCCCTGCTTTCAGCTCACAAATCTGCTGTTAGGAAGGACCTTGGGCTGAGACGCTCCCTGCTGAAAAGTATCTGCCCTTCCTAGGGTCTCCCATACTGTCCTCCACAAAAAGGGAGAGAGGACACCTGCCTGCCTGTCTCTGCTGGCCCCTCCCACAGCTTGAGCACACTAATCCTGGAACTACTCGTCTTTGACCTTGTGTAGTCCCTCTGCCCCCCACTCCCATCTCACTAACCACTCACTTCTCAAGTGTTACCCTGCAGCTGCCCAGCTCTGATTCTTGACATTATCCCTTCTCTTCTGGAGAAGCCTGCTTCACTGAGCTCAGAGCTCACTCTATCCATCATCAGAGGCAGGACAACAGGGAAGGAAGGGTCTAGTAGCCAGTTGGATTTGGTAGTGCAATGTTTCCCTCTGGCCTGGCACCCTTGGATTGACCCTGAAGGGGTTAATAGGACAAGGTCTGACCAGGTCTGGGCCTGGCCAGCTTTCTTCTGTTCTTCCCTCTACCCTCTTGCTCTAGACTTCACATCCTGTTTAGGCTTCAGGACACATAGCTCTCATCTGGGAAGCCATTCCTGGAGCTGCCCAGACTTACCTGCTCAGCATGCCATCTCCAGCACCTGGGCACTACCCTTGGTCCTGTCTCCACAGCCTTACTTCTGCTGATTCCCAGCGGGAAATACAGAAAAAGACTGCCCCACTGCTGGGGAGTGTCAGCATGGATGGTATAGAGCTCCCCTCATATTAAAGGCAGGATTCCAGCTGCCTCCTTGTTTACATTCCTAAGTGCTGGTCTTGTGTGTCTTCAAACCTGTCTCGATTCAGCTTCCTAAGGGGAGGGCCAGCATCTCTGTCCTTCTTTCAGAGGCAGAAGCTCTGCAGGCTGAAGGAGAAGCAGATAAGAAATAAAATGGTGGCATGGCATACAGGCCTTGGCATTCTTGACCTGAAGGGGTTGCTAGGTTGTTGACTGAAAGGTTGGTGTGACCTGAAGATTGGACATTCATCTGGTGTATGCAGCAGGTGGTAGCTGAACCCTGCCTTGGCTTAGGCCCCCTATGCCAAGGCTGGATTTTTAATGTAATTCTGCAACTTTCTGACAGCTGTGAGGACATGAAGGCTTTGTAGGACTCAGTTCTTTTTTTGTGTGGTTTTTTTTTTTTTTTTTTTTTGGTGGGGGGGTAGTTGGTGATCAAGACAGGATTTCTTCATGTACCCCTGGGTATCCTGAAATTCACTCTGTACACTAGGCTGGTCTCAAACTCACAGATCCACCAGCCTCTGCTTCCCATGGGCAGAGAGTAAAGGCATGCACCACCATTGCCCACCAGTACCCAGTTCTTATTGGTGCTTTTATGTCTGGTACCTGAAAATGGGGGGCTGTAAGCCCCTGCCCAGAGGGCCCAGGAAATGACCTACTTTCTCAGCCCGGTTCTCCATCCCTCTATAGGGAAGGTCCTTTGCAGCTCACTAGACTTGAAGTACAAGGCCGTGGCCCCTGATGCCAACAGAAGCCTTCTGAGGCCTGGCCTTAGTCTTGGGACAGTCAGTTAATGTCAAGTTGCCTAGCCTGGTTTTTTGAAGAGAAGTATCAGAGGCTTCCTGGGCCTTGTGTGGTGGGGTCTTTCTGTCCTGAAGGTTGTCACTGTTCATCCAGCCTGGACTCTGCTGGGCTCAGGAGGTGACAGGGTTCTGAAGGCCAGGCACAGCAGCAGGCCAGTATTGCTGGAAGAAAGACCCTCTTGGATGCTTCTGCGCTGGGGTCTTGGACTCCTCTACCTCTGCAGCTTCTTTCCAAATGGGGATGATTTCTGCCCTTCCCCCACTTGCCTTTGTGGCTTCTCTTCTGTGAGAGCTTGAGGCAGGTTGACCTTTGACCCTTTCTGGAATTCCAGGCCCTGGGGGCTCCCAGGGGTGACTTCCAAACTCCCACCACTTCCTGATGACATAAGCACCATGGCAGCTGCCTTGCCTCAGGCCTGGACATGCTGCCCCTCCCCCCAGGGACTTGGTGCACTCTGCTTCTCCCCACTTTCTTTGGTTAGGCCTGGCTTCATATTTGAGTTTATTGTCTGTCCTGCTTGTTCTGTACCAACCCCTTGTGCTTGTTCTGAAGCTGGGTTCTGGGGTAAAGGAAGGTGAGCCGATCGCTCCTTTGACCACAGCCAGAGTAAGGCCTCCCCTCCTCTGAGTACCTAAGTCTTGTTCTCCAATAGCCTACAGGTCCCTAGTGTGCTGAGGGTTGTTTCTGAGACCAAAGTATAGGAGGAGGTCAGGCCAGCTGGGCAGACCCCACCCTTACACCCTGGCTAGGGCTACTGCCTGGGGGAGAGTGAGCCAGGGATGGCCTATGGCAGGCAAGGGATATAGGGCTGTGGCCTGGGGATCCCACTTCTCCTTGCCAGGGGCCTGACTGGGCTCAGAGAATTCCCTATCCCTTTGCCTACTACCATTGCCCCGACCTCCACAGTGGGGGCTGCCAAGGTGAGACAGGTGTCAGCCCACTCCTTTGACTCTAAAGAGTCAAGATGTCTTTTTCAGGCCAGAGGCTACAGATAAAAGACCCTAGCCTCTTCCCAGCTGTGTTCAGATGTCCCCACACCTCCAGGGTCAGCATGGGGGTGGGTGGAGGTTGTGTGTGTGGGGTCTTTTCTATCTCTTAAGGCTGGCTTCCCCTCTGGGTCTCCTGATAACCTCTCAGATGCCTGTCTTGGCTTCTACTGTGTGTGCATGGGGCGGGGAGTGGTGGGGGTAAGGACAGGATGAACAAGTATGGCCCTTCCATGTATAGGTCAGGGGCTGCTCTGAGTGGCTTCTTGAGCATTAATGGTTATCCCATAGAAGTGGTTTCATTTGAGCCCTTATGTTTGTCTGGGTCCCCGGGGATGCAAGAGGCCAGCCAGGCCTTACCTCCTGGTCTTCCCCTCCTTCCTCAGTGCCTGGAGAAGTTCCCTGTGATCCAGCACTTCAAGTTCGGGAGCCTGCTGCCCATCCATCCAGTCACATCAGGCTAAGAGAGGCTGAGCCACCAGAGCCACCCTGGCCAGGTTCCTGTGCCCTCTGACCCGGCACCCCTCCCACCCACCTTCTGTTCTTTCTGTTTACTGAGATGGGTGCTGAGCAGGGCCTGAGTTGGGTATTGACCAAAGTGTGGCCGGTTTTTGACTGTCCGTCTGATGGGCAGACAAGAAGAGGGGGTGGGACCTGGTCCCAGGGCCCCTGCCCACCCCTGTCCTCCCTGCTTCCTGTCTTCTGCCCAGGCCCCTGTGGAGACAAGGGCTTCCTGCTCTTCCCATTGCTCTCCCTTTCCCATGCTGTACCTCCTCCTTCAGAGAGGGCTAGCTGTTCAGCTTTCCACCTGCCCAAGCTGTGTTCCTCTGGTGACTGCCTTGGGGCAGGAGGGTGAGGCTGTCAGCAGCTGTGGGGAGGTGTGGGGTGGGGGTGATGGTTGGTAGAGGCACCATGGATGATGAGGTTGGCCTTCTCAAGGTAGCCTCCTAGTGTATCCATCCTCATTCTTGCTTTTGTTCTCTGGGCCTTGGATTTGCCAGGTTTCTTGACTGTTATTGTAAAGCTTCCCTTGCTGGGGTAGCCTAGTTATGGAAGCTGTCCTGGGCTCCTGGGAAAGCCTGTTGACTGGGTGAAGGCTCTCTTTCCAGAATTGTCTCCAGCAGGGAGAGAATGGTAGAGACTCAGGGAGGCACTAGGGGTACTGTGTTTTGGAGAGCCTGGTTTCCTCCAGCCAGTCTTAGGCCTGACCAGTTCTGCTCCCCCCACCCCACCCCTCCCGCTTTGAGTGGCCTTTAGCTTCACCTGAGGCCCTTGCTCGCTGCTGTGCTCCCTTGGGTAGGTTTGTGGCTGGTGTGAGATGGCAGGGAAGGCAGCAGGCCTCTTTCTCCCTCTTACCTTTTAGGGGACGAGGCAAGCAGTGCCTTGCGCCTGGGCACAGACTCAGAATGGGTAGGACTGCTGGGGGCAACCTAGCCACAGTCAGCAGTTCTCCCAGCACTGTGGCCGACCTGGTACCTGTAGGCTTCCCTGACACACTCATCCTGTCCTCCTGCACTGCCCATCCTGGGTCTGTCCACAAAGCCTTTGGGGATGGACACTGAGAAGCACAACCCAAGGGCTTGGCTTAGCGATGATCTGGACAGAGCTGGGACTCAAGTCATCAATGGCACAGTCAGTCTCCCAGGATAGGCCCAGGGCCAGCCTCCCTTCCAGGGCCAGGCCATCGCTTTCCTGGCTCCCTCCCTTGTCCCTGGGTCCCTAGTCCTGCACCTTCCTTGCTGTTTGGATTAAAGCCTCTGTTTTACACCTGTCCCCTGTGTGAGACATCTTTTCCTGACATGTCTGAGTGACTGTTCCCTAGTAGGTCTCCTCCCTATCAGTTGACTTTCTGCAAATGGGATGTGTGACTGTGATTCAAGCAGACAAGAGGGTTCAAATCCCAGCTATCCCTCTGTTCACTCCAGTGGCAAGGTTGCAGGTAGGTTTCAGAGCTGCCCTGAACCCCAGCACTCTCATCTAGAAGATGGGTACAATCACAAGTGCTGGCGCCCCCAAATCTAGGCATGTCACATAACACATGGTGTGTTGTCACTGTAGCAGTGTGTGTGTGTGCCTCCTGCAGCTGCTCTGGACTGCTGTCAGCTCTGTCCATAGTTCTTCTGAGCCCGCCCTTCTGATCTGTCTATGCTAAGGTTGAGTGTGGATGTACAGTGCGATTCCTTAGCCACCTGAAAACAGAAGCCTTTCTTCTCCTGGTCCTGGAGGCTTTGCACAGAGGCAGGAAGAGGAGCCTCAGCCCAGTGCCCTTGTTCTGCCTCTGGATGTCCTTAGTTGCCCAAAGCCTTGTCTCTGAAGTCCAGCACACTGGAGTTCAAACCCAAGGCCAGCTGCTTACAGTGGAGGTGATACACTTCTCTCGGAGCTTCAGTTTCTTGGCCCGAAAAACAGGTACAATGTGTCATGGTCTAGAGCGGTGATTCTCAACTTTCCTAATGCTTTGACTCTGTAATAGTTCCTCATGTTGTGGTGACCGCCCCCCAACCATTAAATTGTTTTCGTTGCTACTTCATAACTAATTTTGTAATGTAAATATCTTGTGTTTTCTGATAGTCTTAGATGACCCCTGTGAAAGGGTCATTCAGCCCCAAAGGTCTTGGGACCCACAGGTGGAGAACCACTGGTTGAATGGCTTATTTGTTTCACAGGCAATAACTGTGTATTTGTGACCACAGCATACCAGAAAAGAACAGCATTATTTAGTGGATTGTAATTAGGAAATTAATAGGGGTGATGCTTTAGTTACACACAGGCATGTACAACCTTGTATCTTAGTTAGGGTTTCTGTTGTTGTGAAAAGACACCATGACACCTTTTTTTTTTTTTTTTCTCTTTTTAATTGTTTTAAAATTTTATTTATTCTTTTAAATTTCATTTTATATTCCAACCACAGTCTCCCTCCCACTCATCCTCCCACTCCCCCTTGCCTCCCCCCCCCCCAAGCCCACCTCCAGTCCATTCCTCCTCACTGGTAAGGGCTCCCATGAGGAATCAACAAAGTTTGACACAGTAGGTTGGGGTAGGACCAGGCCCCTCTCCCATGCATTAAGGCTGAGCATGGCATCCCACCATAGAGAGTGGACTCCAGCAAGCTTGCTCATGTACTAGGTTTGTATCATGGTCCTAAAGCTAGGGGCCACTCTGGTAGCCCAAGCTTCACAACTGTCTCCCACATAACGGCGGAGGGCCTAGCTTGGTCCCCTGGAGTCTCCACAGTTCTTGGTCTAGAATTCATGAGTTTCCATGAGCTTATTCAGCTGTCTCTGTAGTTTTCTCCATCGTGATCTCGGCTTCCCTTGAGGCTCATATATTCCCTTATCCCTCTCTTCAACTGGATTCTGGGAGCTGGGCCTGGTTCTTGGTTGTGGATCTCTGCATCTGGTTCCAGCGGTTACTGGATGAAGGCTCTCTCAGTCCTTTGTGCAGTAGATGTCTGTGTCTCCAGAGCCCCTCGACGACGACAACAGTTCTTATAAAGAAAACAGTTCATTGGGGCTGGCTTACAGGTTCACAGATTTAGTCCATTATCAACGTGCTGGGAAGCTTGGTGGTGCGCAGGCAGATACTGTGTTGGGGAAGGAGTTGTACATCTGGATTGGCAGGCAGCAGGAAGAGAGAGAGAGACACTGGGCCTCGATTGAGCCCACCCCCAGTGACACTTCCTCCAATAAGGCCACACCTCCTAATAGTGCCACTCCCTATGAGCCTCTGGGAGCCATTTTTATGCAGACCACCACAATAACCTGCTTGAGATCTGTGCAGTACATTTACAAATTTTATCTTTGGCTAAAGCAATCTTCTCATCTATCCAAGGGCACATGCACTTATAAACACATACCCACACACAGATGCACACATATATGTACAATTAAAAATAAGGGCTGGGGCCTGGAGTGATGGTTGAGAGCTCTGTCTGCTTTTCTGGAGAACCTGGTTTCAATTCCCAGTGCTCATATGGCATCTCACAACTATAATTCCAGGTCCCAGGGATCCAACACTCTCACACAAACATACATGCAGGCAAAGCACTAATGTACATAAAATAAAAAAGTAAATGTAAGGGCTATGCCTGGAGAAGGCTCAGGTTAAGATTCAGAAGCTCCAGGTTTGGCTCCCAGCACCCACATGGGGCTTACAACCAACCATCTGTAACACTAGTTCCAGGTGATCTGATAGCCTTTTTGGCCTCTGTGCATTGCATGCATGTGGCACACAAACATACATGCAGGCAAAGTGCTCATACACATAAAGTAAATATCTTTTCAAACAAAAGTTAGGGGCCAGAAGGAAGGCTCAGTGTTTAAAGTCTTGCTGATCTTGCAGAGGATCCCTGTTCAGTTCCTGGCACATGAATGGTGACTCACAACTTTCTATAATTTGAGTTCCAGGGGATCCACTGCCCTCTCCTGGCCTCCATGGGTATTGCACATGTCTGATTATATGCCGACAAAGCTGTTTTTTGAGACAGGATCTACACATAGCCTTGACTTGCCTTGAACTCTCTGCATAGATCAGGGTGTCCTCAAAAGTTACAGAGATGTATTTGCCTCTTGAGTGCTGGTATTAAAGCTGTGCACCATCATGCCCAGCTAATAAAAACAGATGTAAAAATAAAAATCTTTTAACGGGGCAGTGGTAGCGCACACCTTTAATCCCAGTGCTCAGGAGGCAGAGGTGAGCAGATCTTTGAGTTTGAGGACAGCCTGGGGTACAGACTGAGTTCCAGAACAGCCAAGGCCACACAGAGAGAAAAAAAAAAATCTTTCATTAGAAAAATAAATTTGTTTTGAGACAGGGTTTCATGTATCTCAGGCTGCCTCAAATTTGATGAATATTTATTCTTCTGTGTCTGTCCATCCAGTGCTGGAACTAGAGACATGCACCATCAGACCTGGTTTGGGAAGTGCAGGAGATTGAACCTAGGCTTCTGTGCATGCTAGGCAAGCCAACTGAACCACCATATCTCCAGTGGACACCTCCTACTCTTACGTTTATAGTTGCATGTGCTGGGAAGGAAATGGATGTGAGCCCCAGGGTAGGTGGTGTAACCCTGGAGTTGCTGCAGGCTCCAGGAACCCCAGCCAGGGATGGGGTGACATCCTAGGTAGGCGAGGAGTTTGGGGTTTGGTTTTAGTTTGGAGCCTGAGAATCCTGGGGTGAAGCTAAGTGGATAGACAGCTTGCTTGGGAGGCTGTAGCTATGTTTGGCACAAGGACGGGGACTGGTGAGAAGTAGTCCACTCAGGTATGTGAAGATGTCACTCAGGAAGGGAGATGTGAGAGGGAAAGCAAGGTTTCAGGAAGACTCCCAGGTCTTGGCTAGCATAGCTTGACTGCTTCTGGTGGGAAAGTGAAGAGGGGAATGCTCCAGGGTACCGTAGGCCTTCTAAAGAATGGGAGGAGGTATTATGCTCCTGGTCTGGCACTGGCTGAGGTGGAGCAGTTGGCTTAGAGATAGGATATAGCCAGCAGGCCCTTGCCAAGTGTGAGGAGTGCCTGAGGAGAGGAAGGGCAGGAAACTGGTGATGGAGCTCTGGCCTTTCCCCTTGCTGAGGACTGCTTTGCTTCCCTGCAGTGAAGGGAAATACTGGGGGTGGGTGCATGGGGAATGGAAACAGGGAGGTAAGAGGGGCCCTGGACATAACCTCACAACTCAGTGTTTACTAGGTTAGTGTTTAGCCCAGCCCCTCCAGAGGAAGGAAGAGTGTGCAGTGGGTTCAGCTGCTCTGAACCCCACAGCCTGCTGCTCTTTAGGACAGAAGAATCTTTGAGTGGGTGAGATTGGAGGTCGTGGGGAGGTTTTGGAAGGTGGGCCATGCTGTTCTCTGCATTTAAAAAAAGGCGTAGGAGGTGGTACATAGGTGATGATGGACATCAGAGTAGAGCTGGGAGAGTCAACCCTTGAGGCCAAGTGCAGCCTCCTCCAGGCAGCCAGAGGGTACTTGTCCTATCCTGCAAGAGGTTTATCTGAGCAAGGAATGGTGAGCCAGGATCATCTGCTGCCCTAGGGCTGAAGGGTAGTGGAGGGGGCTTTGGAGCAGTGGGGGCATTGAGGAAAAGGGCAGATGGGAGGTACATTCATGCCTTGGAGATGGGTGAGAGAATTCACACTGCTGGCCCATGTTTTATCTATGAAGGATGACTGTGCTATACTGATGTTGGGTCTAAGGAAGCTCTCAATGGATGGGCATGTCTCTGCCTACCATCCTGAGCCAAATGGACTTTGAAAGCCGAGCTTGTGTTTGGACGTCTGTGTGTCAGTCTGGTTTTTTCATAGAGGTAGCCTTTTCCTAGGAGGGGGCACTGCAGGGTAACAAAGCTGGAGGCTTGGTGGCCCCTAACAGATTGTGTTAGGTTTTCTCTGTGTAACCCTAACTGTCCTGGAACTAGCTTTCCAGACCAGGCTAGCCTCAAACTCAGCAGAGATCCTCTTGCCTCTGCCTCCAAGTGCTGGGATTAAAAGTGTGACCAATGTGTTTTCCTTGAATCCACCTAACATCAAGCACTTTCATAAAGATATTCCAGGGGTGTGGAGAGAAGACTGTTTCCTGTTTTCAGGAAACTTACAAGTGGGAGGAACACATGGTGGATCAGCCATGGAAGAAGGTAGCCAGTTGTACAGGCTCCAGGGCTCTCTCAGAAGGCTGATAAGCAGCCCAGGAGCTGAGCCCTGAACAAGGAGCACAGACCATGGGCATCAGGTGGAGCCTGGGACAGAAGTATGTAGGTGGCAGGAGACATCTGTGAAGGTGAGT